TGCCTAGCACGATCCTCCGGTTAAAGATAAATTAATATTTACGATCGTCGATCGACTATCAAGCGACGTAAGATTTCAAGAATCTCGACACTTCATCCATAGCCGTCAAAGTTTTCATTGAAACGTCAACCACTTCTCGTGCAAACGAAACGGCGTATCATGAAGTTTCGCGAATTCCATTTCATCCAGAAACTTATCGAATCCCGTTTCAATAATATATAAGGTATAACCCCTGCGGTATATACCACTGAACCAAAGTCCCGGGTAAGTATACCAAACAGCAACTTGTATACCAACGTAAGAAATTCTGTTTAACGATCCAAGCGTAGAAAAAATTTGAGAACAGTCTATATCTAGTTATATTAATATAATAATGTACAGTAAGCGGATATACAAATGTGTGTCGTATACGACAAAGTAATACTTGAGAAAGCAAACCTAGATCATATAGGGAGTTTACCTCGAGGATTCTGGATTGGTTCGCTATGTTGAGTCGAGAAGGGGTGGAAGCAGTCAGAGAGCAAGCAGCGGTTGCTGTGTTTGACGTTGATGCTATGATAAGATGAAAGAGCTTCGAAGCTTATATCCGACCTATAGAGCTGAGAGTATTGTTGCACATGTCTAAGCATAAGGCCGATACATGTTGATCTCAGCTGGGTATAACGATATTACCTTGAATATCTGTATTCGAATACGAACAAGTCAGGTATATATTCATACGGGGAAATCCTGACTCTGGGTAACCTATGAGGTGTGTGCAATTAGGTATTACGCGAGGAAAGGTTGGGAAATCAAATTACGCGATAAAAGTCCGTAGGGTAATTTCACCTAATTCCACGTTTGGTAATTGGCTGTTGGCTACGATCCGCTTTTGTTTATTCGTTCGTATTTCATTTCGAAATTAAGTCGGAGTGGGGGTAATTCGTTTATTTAAACTGCAGGTGCCGTTGGAAAAGTTGAGCCTTCGCTGCCTGATCCCAGAGCAGACACTAGCCTGCGGCTGACGAGCGACCGCGGAACGAACGCCAGCAACGAAAACTGAATCGCTGATTGCGGCTTCAAAATCAAACCGTGCCCATTGTCAGGTCGCCTATTAATTCGTTTGCCATTCAATTTTTCAATGTTCCACCGAGTATCATGTAAAATGGTGAACCCGTGCTGGAGTCACGAGCATTGCATGGAAAATTGTGATACTGCGTTACCTATTCGATCAAGGGCTGGTAAAATTCTCTGTGTAGAAATTTTATTTGTAATATTTTTTTTCAACTTTATCCAGCCATTCGTTTCGTGTTGCTGGGTATACGGTAGCTCGTAACTGACTGTGACGTTTGGTCGGATAAAATTCATTCGTTATCGGCGATGCTTAAGCTCTGACGGCGATTGGTCTATTAGCCGCTTCTCAAAGGTTGTTAACGATCTTAAATCATGCCCGTTCGTAGGAGGTAAGAGAGTGAAAGGGCTTTTACCATGGGAAAGCATCATGAGTATGGTCGGTACTATCTATCTCCTCGTACGTCGCCAATCAGAAACACTCGTCGAGTGTGTCACTGGCACGCCACTAACCTACTGGGATTCTATGGATCGGTCGCGTGCCACAAAGTACTGTACAGATCAGCCTATACTGTATGCTGTATCAGGGTACGTGTATGCATTCAGCAAGAGCAAGCTATTAGATCCTACCAGTCATGTAAGTATATTGCTTGTAATGCCATGCAATTACGATAATCTCCTTCGATAGTCGTAGATGCCGCAGGCTTTGATCCTAGGTTATGTATTCTGTAGGCAATGGCATATATATACGATAAAATTTACATCATGTATAGCGGTACTTGCCGAAGACGTATACGAAGGGGGTACTAAGCGGCGAATCTTATTTTTTCGCATTCGTTGCACACTTGGGGAATTATATTATTTATCCTGAAACCGGCTTTCGTTTGACTCGCACTTTATTTATAAGCCTCCTTGCCAAGCCAACGCTTCGACAGCCGGTAATTGCTGCTCGTACCGACGCCAGCCAAAAGTTACAATGCTCGAATTATTCAGCGTTTTATTGTGGAACGACAGTAAAAACTTTCCACGACATTAGACATCTTGTCTCTATATTAACAGCGTCCTACCTGCGAGCGGGGCAGGTTATGCAAATTCCATTCTGGGGATATCCTTCCTTGGCATTCGCGACTGTATGGGTCTATGCGAAAACGACGCCCGGCGTCTGTGTCGTCGAGAGGTGGCGACGCGTTTTAATTACGATATTATGCGTAGGCTATTTATCCTCGAGCGAATGTTTATTTGCCGGCCCGGGAGAGAAACCGGAGCGACCCTTAATTGTTCAATCGAGCGAATCGGATAGAAATATTATTCTAATACAAAGGGGCTGCTTTCTACGGGGTATAATTAATGTAAAAACGTACTATAATTGCTGGTTAATACTATTCTACATCTGCTCTTTATTACTCTCGAAGGGGTCGCATTTAAACCAACCTGTAGTTCTGGATCCTCCAGGTACGAGACTGAGGCATAGGTAGACAGTACCCAAACGGGATGCTGCGAATAAAATATATGACAAGAATAACATGACAGTCAAATTCATCCAAGAAGCTACAGATGACATAAAATTTATTTAGGCAGAACATTTTTTTTTTTTTTTTTTTTTTTTTTTTTTTTTTTTTTTTTTTTTTTTTTTTTTTTTTTTTTTCGAAATACCACTTTTCACTTATAATCCAAAAATATACTTATCCACCAACAAAAATGGTTTAGTCCACGAATAAAGTATATATAAACAGAAATGCTTTATGTCAACTTGGTAGGTAGGAAATATAGACTGTCGGATGTTCTATAAGAATCCGTAAATGTAACCACGTCTGAGGTGTAGGCGATCTACTATAACCTAGGCTCTATATAGTATATATAAGTATATAGACATAGCTAAAGACCAGAGGTATGCTGTGTTGTGCAAGTTGGTTCGTTCCATTTGAGTCAGGGTATCGAGGTGTCAATAGCAGCTGCTATGCTACACACAAGACCCCTGCCTACTGCACCCTCTTGTTGTATTCACTTCACTTCTTCACCCTTATCTACAGCTAGGACGTGGGTTCGAGGCTATATTCATATATACCTATGGGGATATGAGCGAGATCGTGCGAAATGCGTTTTCAGACGTGAAACAATTTTTCAATCCTAATAAAAGGCAAGTGTACGCAACATAACAGTATCGTATCCAGACTATGGATTCTTAGTTGTGATTGATCCAAAGTAATTCGGAATGGATTAATGCCTGAGATTTGTATTTACTAAGCAACTCGCCGACGATAAAATACTCGTGCTCCGTTGCAAGCTTGGTGAAACACCCTGCTGTTTTTAAGCGTTGGTGACTAATTGGTGATGTCGTGGCCAGGCGTTGAGACCCACCCTCTACCACTTTCCCAACCCTCCCGCACTCTCTCGTGGCTCCCTTTATTCCTCTTGTCCTCGCTCTCCCTCTTTCGCCAGCTATTCCTCTCCTCCTCGTCATAGCTGCAACCCTCTTTCTCGTACCCTCCTTTATCACCGAGTTCTCGCTTCTCTCGGCACTGTTATTATTACTATATACACTCATACGTCCCAACCAGGTTGGCACGCGCGCCACAGAGATTGCTCCCTGTAGAGGCTGCTACTGGTTGCCGAGACCGGGAGCCAACACTCCCTTCGTTAAAGGCGTTGGTTAACACTTGGCTATAATAATGTAATATACGGTACAGTCTCGACGGGCACGAGAACGCGCCCCGAGGATTAGTGGAGCAGGTGACGAACCGGAAATAAGTGTAGCTTGATGTTGTCGCTTAACGTTACCAGCTTCATCGCCGGATGTATCGTAGCTTGTATTGAGATAGCTGTTTATTAAATATTTGTAAATATTTTTAAGCAAAAATAATTTATATCGAAAATATGTATTTTTCGAAAATTTTGAATAATCAGTCCGAGGTTCAAGAATGATTTTTTGCAAATGATATACTGTATCTGACATCTTTTAGAAATTCATGGACCCGTTGCATAATTCCTATTTTCGGTGCGATTATATATTAGTATAAAAAATATCTGGTCAATTGATATGACATTACTCAAAGTACCATTACGTTGGAAAGGGCTACCACTGTACGCCGCTGACACGGGCCACGTCTATAGGTAACCTAATAATGGGCGGGAGTGTAGGTCCCCGTCAATGAAAACGCGTGCATTCAGTCTACCAGGTTTTACCCTATTTCGGTAATAAAAGAAAAAATCCAAAAAAACTCGTAATATGTAAAAAAAAAACTATTCGCATATAACGCTTCGTCACGAACTCCTGGCTTTTTCCACGTTTTTGGAAACGGCCGAATTATACCGCCCACTTGGTACTTTTTTTTTTCTCTCATCTCGGCAAACTTTTTGATACTTTTCAATGGAATATCGCACGGCTATTAACGTCTACGATTCTTTGTTCGGCGAACCTCGTGTCATCAGTCATTTCTTTATTCTTACGACAATAATAGAATAACATAATAGGGCAATAGGCTTGCTGCCGATCTCTGACACGAAATCGAGAATTTTATTATGATATATTACCTGTCATTACAGATGTAACACTTGGAACCCTAATTTCATATTAGGCACGATGTGCGTTGCATCTTGCGACATTTTTCATTGCATTTCCCAGAACACCTATAAGTATAATAATAAAGTCTGATAAATAAAATTTAAAAAATTCGCATATAGATATATGCCTGGGAGTCGTGAAATTAATGTTGGGATAAAGTTTTAAAAAATCGGTAGAAAATTTTTCAAAAATTTTTTCACTCCTGTAACATTGTATATGAGTAAAAAATGAAAGTCGAAACACACAACGATATTAGCATTCGTATTCCAAAGTACGATTTCGTCGATGGGACCATCGACTAATTCATGGGTCTCATAAAAGCCAACGGGCACGTTAAATATAATCCCCGTAGCGTCTAACCGCGTTTTAGCTGTAGGCGTCGGGGTTACTAAAAGGCACACTCCGTTGTTTGACCAAGCTGAGCAAATATAAACGAACATCGTGTATCCGTATAACAGAGTATAGAATTCGTATCGGGTCCAGGGTTGCTGTTGGCAAACATTTTAACAGGATTAGTGAACACTTACGGGGGCTAATCTATCCAAATAGACCAAATAGACGTATGGGAAACCGCAAACTTTAAGTAGTCTGTCATAGAGTTGTTCCTTCGATGATTTAGAAACTGGAAACCCTACGACGCTGTGTTGCTCATGTTGAAATGTGGCTTTTATGAAAAATTTACAGATTCCTATGACTTCACTCGTCACCCATATAAGAAGGAAGTTACAATATTACTTTATGTACCATTTTCTTTTTTTCTCGAAAATTTTTCACAAGGCAGAAATTTTCATTGCTAAAAATCAGTCTCCCGTTACCACGTGTAAATATTTCACATACGAAATATCAGACTGGCCCTTCTCGTGTTTGACTTCTTTTTTCATCTGCCGTTCGCTTACACCCAGCATTCATTATGCATTCAAAATATTATCTTTACATATGGCTACTGCGTACGCGTATAGCAAGGGGTTGGCTCTGGTGGATATTTACTTAGAGTTGCAATGCAAGTCGAGACGACAAAAAGCTGTGTTACAATTAAACAACAATCGGAGCGTAGCACGTGTGAAATAAAAAAAATGTTACCACACAATTAATTCTTTTGTCCTTTCATTTATTTCTGTGCTACCTAAAATTTAAAAAAACGACTCTTGGTAAATAATACCAGGAAAGTTTTGAATCCGCCTAACCTAACCTATAGGGTTAAAAAAGGCTATAACTCTCCATGAATATAATATCCACTAATGGTGTATTACACTGGCAACTCTCTCGACGGTTCCCTCGAAAATCCGTGCGTGCCCGCTGCACTCGCAGAAGCTATTAATCACGAGCATAAGCAGGCGACTAATTGTTGGCTTTGGGAAAAAGAGATGTGGGGTCGTAGGGTGAGGACTGAGAGAGTCATGTCCCATTATTGCAAGTACGCACCCCCTTAAACTTACCCTTAGCGATGTGACGCAATCGGAATCACGCTGTGAAATTGTCGATGTAGCGATCGCCCGAAGGGATGTGACTTGTCGATTTTTAAGATCGTTTGTTATGTCCCGTCGATCGTCAACGATCACGTATAACGGGATTGAGTTCATCGACATGGGAAAACCGGAAGGAATTTTCATCATGGAGAATGCCTCTGAAAAACAAAATTTTTTTTATCTCATTGTCATCAGGCACTCACCTATAATTTTCTATACACTTGAAAAGTCCAGAGGAATGATCGACCTGTAAAAATTGCATAGAACGTGTCAATCTCTTAATTTTATGCCTACCCGAAGATGCGAGTAGCTTGAAAGAGCCTTGTACGTAATATCTTGAGGAATTCCCATAAAATTGGCCAATTATCCCGTCACAGTAAGCGACAATGGAAGAGGGGTATCGTCGACGCGAGGACAATAAGAGCTTCTGCTGTAAAATGGTATAAAGGCGTTCGCGTAAAGCAGTTAGCATCGGACGCTTCTCCATGATCCATCATCGCACGGTTAGTTCGTTTCATCATGGGAGACACGAGAGGCCGTACCAATGATCTGTCATCCGGTTTCCGTGGTGCGTTGCGTCACGTCCGGTTTTTCACGGAATTAAATCGTGCGGAGGTGCGATCCTTGCCTGCCAAAAATTTCACATCTCAGTACGGATCGTTAGCAGTGAAAGGCGCGAAGGGCTTTGAATTGAGAATACGTCGAAATGGTACTTTAATGGCGGCATTCTCTTCGTCACCGTATGCAAAACAATATGGTAGGTAACAACGTGCGCAAGCCGTGCTCCCGTTATATGCTAGATCTATTTATCATTAAATCAACCGGAAATCCCGGAGTTTTCTTGCGAAAGGGAACAACGTACCGTGGATGCTAATGATCCCAATTCGTTCTACGCTGGTTGCTTTGCTTAGCGGTAGGACCAATTTTTCAGAATCCGTTGTGAGTATCTTGGCGAATTGCAGCTGGTTGGGTATGCGCCCAAGGACTTTTAAGTCGTAGGAAAAAATTGGTCGAAATGTAAAATGCCGTTTGACCATTGAATCCATAGCTCGGTGAAGAAATCTTGTATGGGTTGCACAAAGCGAAAATGTCGTTTGAAAATTCGTTCATGGAGATGAGACAGTAGTGCAATGTCAAATGTTAAAAATAGATACCGTGCCGTGACCTCTACCCTCGTATGCTCAATGAACGTTACGCTCGCAGCACCGGTTTCGTCCTTCCTCGATTCGGATAATGGGGCATTACTCCCACCCCGCGTCTGTCCCCTGGCAGTGAAGTTCGCGCTTAATATTATTAAATTAGAGGACAATGGCGAGCCGTGGCACGCGGCGTTTAAGCGATTTTAATAACATTTCACGGGGCTTTTTTTAATAATATGATAATAAAGCGAAATGAAAGAAAATGCTCAAGGGATTATCGTTCGGTCACGCGCCGCCGTTTGACTCCCTGCCACTGACTTCGCCCCATTCTAGACGTTACCGAAACCCCCGCAAGATGGCGCAAGTTCTCCTTCAGTTTCCTTTTAATATTCGATCAAATAAGTTCGAATCCATCGGACCGCGCTTAATTTCAACTCGACGCAATGCACTTTCGATTTATGTGCTGACTTGTGAACGAAGCTTTAGTGAAGTCTAAGATTTCTTTGTTATCGCTCTTTTTAATTATATCCAGTCTTTGCTGTAGAGTACAATTTTTTATGGAAGATAGAAAAATCCCTTGCTTTTATTAAATATCAGATTCACTCAGCCATTTCATATTTTTTTAATGATTCCCGCCAAATTCTGTTTCCATATCTTTTCCCATTGATGGTCTCGCAAGCCTTCGTATATAAAAGGAGTAACGCAGAACACGGTAACTATTATGGGTTAGAGAATGGGCATATTTCACGCTCGGTAAAGCACGTTCCATGGTGAGCCCACCCTAACGTCACAATAGACAGGGGTTGCTCTGGGTGTCAACTAGTTTTGTTCGTTCGGGTGGTCTTGAAGCTTCTCTATTTTTTTCGAGTAGGGTTTATTTGACTGTAAAGAGTTGCCTCCGGGTGGGATCCAAGGATCATATAGTATTTGCTTTAAATCCTGGGAAGCCTCTTCGAGTCCTAAGAGAAGAACAGATACATATGTGTATAGTGAACGGCGAATGGATTGGTGAAAAAAAAAAAAAAAAAAAAAAAAAAAAAAAAAAAAAAAAAAAAAAAAAAAAAAAAAAAAAAAAAAAAAAAATAGTAAAATCAGTCATTCTTATTTCATTGTTGAAGTTCCACGAATACGTTTCTTTTACGATTGGTTAAGTTTTAACAAAAATCTGAGCACGTGGACCAGAGAGAAAATAAAATAAAATGGCCGACAGAAGGAGGGATCATTGTCATCAATGTCCCTCGTGTACCCAGCGAGGTGCCACTCGAATAAGAGAAGATAGCTAAATGTATTAATCTCATGTCGGGGTGAATGTATTTTTCAAAATTTCAACCCGTCGTTCTATAATGCTCCAATAGTTAATGCAGAACCATTAGTCAAACGTCGAGTTTCGTGCACACGAAAGAGAAATTTCGATTTTAAATCGCTACATTTATCATGCAAGCAGGCGCATATGACACCATTCTGATTTTATTTTATTTCTCTCGCAACCCTTTTTCACAACGGTGCGACGTACCGGCTCGTACCACGGAGTACGACTGCCTATACAGCCTATGGAAAAATTTCGTAGTACTCGACAATTTCAATTTGTACCTGTATAAACGTAGTTACGTATCGCGCACATGGCGCGTATCAACGTTTTCCGTGGAGCATTCCGATAGCTCGAAATACAATTTTCCACCAATTTTGTAAATCAGCACACAACCCCCTGTTACAGGTATCCGGTAGGTGATGCACAATGAAAACTAAATAATAGTCACATGTATCAGTATAGATACAGAAGAGAACGATACCTAAAGACCCCACGTACCCACATATATTATCGAGAGCCGCGCCTATACCTAATCTAAAACCCATACCTGTCCAATGAACTACGTTACCATTCATCTATCCTCGTAAACACGCTATCAGAAAATAATAAAAACGCCAAGAGAAATAGGCTCGGTTTGGTGCCTATGCGACCAAGCCGCTCGTAAATTTCGGTCTTCGCTTTAGCCGGCTATTTATTTCTCCTTTGACTTATCGACCGTATTACCTGATTTTCGGAAGCTGTACCTACTCACGGCTGTTTCTCGATCGGTACCTACCTATTTCCCGTCAAGCCTATACATATAACGTATACCTAATATACAATAGGTAAACCTCCGATCAAGCGATCGAACCTACGTGCCTTAAGCAAACGAGCGCTTTGATCGCACTTTCTCTAACAATTACTATATCAGTGCACGAGTTAATTAATATTCCATTAATTAATTACGCCTGTCACTTTAGTATGGTATACGAAACTACAGACTCCTTTATCCTGATACGCGACTCCTCGTCCTGCTGCACCACTTTAATTACTATGATCGATAAAACCAGACGTCCTTGATTTTCATAAAGGATTCTGTTTACCGATATCCTTTTTGATTGTCGGAAACCAGATACTCCCATTCGTCACGACTCCTTTTCCATGTCAAAAGATCATTCTTGCTTGGTTGAACAACCGCAATATATTCTCAGACTTCCTGCAGTCGTCTTGCTCCGTTTAAAGCGGCCACGTACGCGCCTAACGTACGTACACAAAGAGAAAAGTGTTTAACAGCCGGAACTATCCCTTGGGATAGTTCAAGCCCAAGGCCCACCTCTGACTAACCCCAAATCTTACAAGTGGCACAGGGGCTCTGAAGCAGCCGCTGTGTGTACTCTGATTTATTTATCGAATCATAAATTACCCAAGTAACAATGCGACGAAACGCACAACGTATGTATCGCCAGTGCACAGAACGAGGGACTGCCAAAACGTACGCATGTTTGCCTTGCGTGCTCGACCGGAAACACGATTTATGCGATGCAAATTAAATGTGCTCCACATACAGGGTGATCCGTTTGCCCTGTCGAAACGATTGTTTCCCAAAATTTTTTAAACCCTTTTATTTTTCACCCAAGACATGCTGACGTTTTATACGATAAAACTTATGTAATTTCGTTTTGATTTAAGTATGTGTAAATTTGTGAATATGTACATATTATATATACATATAGATATATATATATGCTGAAAAAAAAATTACGTGACGATTTATTGATTAATACGACTTTTCGCGAGGATTTAAAAATACAAGCGTTTGCGGTGTACGTATGTTGTGTCTTTCTATGGGATATGAGAAATTATATATTACACGATTAGCCTCGTCAATCTGCATTAAATACTTACTGATTTGACAAGCCTCATCCGAGCTGGGGACACTGCATAGATTTCCAAGCGTGTGGACCCCTTTTTATCGCACTGTTGAATGGACTGCTGTACGGACAGGGTACTGGGCTTTTCAGTCGATGATTCTTCACGGTGTCGTCTAAATGTCCGTGGATTAGGTATAGGGTGGGACAGACTGATCCGCAGATGCGGCTCGTTAGGCATTGTGAAATAGGAAATTAAAGAAGTAGAGAATCACGCGATACAATTTAAAATACATTACAGTTGAGATATTATTATGAAAAATAATGTATGACTCTCTCTTGCTGTACCTTGAGAATGAACGTATGCAGTTTGGAAAAAATCTGTCACATTCCTGTGATACCTGCGGGATGGTACGAGCTACCTGCTGCTCCAGAAAAATGGCTGATACATAGTGGGCTATTAATATCCTTCCTTTTAATAGTATGTCGATGGGTATTTCTCGTACCTAAACGTGTTGTGACAGTATTCAGGGGTGTTTTGGGGTCTGCCATTTGTCCTGTGAACGCCCCTTTAGTCGTATCGACGGTCCTAACTGAAAATCGTGCCTGGAGCCAAATCAGTACTATTAATACAAAGAAGCTGGAGAGGTTGAAAAGTTTTTCTCATGATTCAGTAATTCTGCTTGGTGAGATCGGATAAGTTCGAAATGGAAAATCAAAGCATAAAATAGTGTTGAACGAGGGATCGTAGGATAGTCTTGGAGAGTAGGGAGACATTGGAATTGAAAAATGGAGCCTTGGGCTGCTGTCGCTCACAGTGACGTCCGAATGACAGCCAATGTAACGCGCAAATCACCAAAGTAATTGGTTTTCATACCGTTTAACCTGGTATCCTAATAAAATAACGTGGAGGTGCGTCGCCGCTGAAAAATATTGTGAGAACGCGAGCGAGCGATGCTGGAAAGTGAGTAAACTGGCAAGACAGTTCATAAAAATTATATCGAGATAGCATGGAAGCAAAAATTCTTCAAGTAGGAACGAGCGATTCTCGTTGAACGTGAAAAGAGCCGAGATTACTCGCTGCCAGGATCGTGAAGCGAAGCCAGCGGCGAGCAGCGCGCAGAAAGAACGAGCGAGTAACTCGCGAAAGAGAGACGAAGAGAGGGACTCCGGAGAGAACAGATTTATATTTGAAATTAGATTAAGCTTCTGCGCTTGAAAGCTATATAAACGCCCCAGCCCTCCGTTGCGCCCGCGCCGGAACGTTCCGCAATCCACCAGGGACAGACTCAATAAACCAACCACTCGTTCGCTCGCTCTTTCTTTCACCATCCCTCTTCCGGTTTACGCTCTGCACGCTCAGCCAGCTTCCTCTTTCCATGTCTGCGATGCTCTCGTTTTTCGCGGATCCTCTCTCCTTTTCTTTGCGAATCTCCAGCGGTTGGTATGGCATGCAGGTAGGGGCACATTTCTATGTACGCATTTCGCGAAAGGGCCATCGATAAAGGCAGATTTTTCACAGGTAAAATGTGAGGAGTCTCTGAATTGTTGGACAGCATGAAAGGATGTGACGTAACCAGAGAGTAATTTCGCATTCCCGTAATGATATTCCTCCTGTGAAACAGAACGGAAATTATACTTTGTGTTTTATTGTATTTCTATATCAGATATAAAAACGTATGTATGTAAAAGAGCGTGAAAATAGTATAGGAATGAAAATTGATATAAAATAATAAGGGTCCTGATTCTTCTTTGAATTCACATGGGAGTTTGCAAGACACCAGCGCCTGCACCGTATCCGTAGCCTTGTGGTCCGAAATTTCTGACGTAGCACTCTAAAAAATATACAATCAATATTTTACTAGGTAATATTGAGCAAAAAAAGGCATCGGTACTAACGTTTACAGTATATCTCGCCACAGTTTTCCTGGTACGTCAGTGACTCCAATGGCTTACGACAGCAGAAACAACTGAAGCAAATGTTGTGGTAAGGAATACCGGAAGCAATCTGAAAAACGAAAAAGTTGACCCACATCCGCTTTCCGAAGCTACTGCTCTGCCCTTGTTTACCTGCATTTCCGCTTGATAGACTTTTCGTCCGCAGCGTTGGCAGTCGAGTCCCCCTCCTAGACATTCGCAACCAGAAGGAAGTCTCGGTTGGCAACAACAGTTATCGTCCTGAGGACTGCAACATCCACCACCCCTGGACGTCCTACCAGGACTCTTCGACCTGGTAACACGGATAAAATCATATTTAAAGCACGGGACACGTCTCGAGGTTGTCTTACCGGCAGCACAAACTACTTCCTCCGCTTGACCCTGACATGCTAGAAGGGGTACCCATGATACGGGGACTTCTGCAGCAGGGTGGCTGCGGTGGACAAGCTCGAGGTGGCAAACAGGGTGAACCATAAGATCGACCAGCTGTAGGTTGACATGGTGGCACAGAACATGATCTCAAAGGCATGCAGAGACGTCCGTTCTTGCCACAACCACCACGACAACCTCCAGCGCAGCATCCTCCTCCACCACAGCCCTGAAGTTCTCCGGTGCAAGGAGGATTGCATCTTGGTGGCTTTATGCAAAGAGGACGACAGCCTAATGGAGGACAGCACCCTTGTCTTCCTCCACAGGGTGGAGAACAACCAGCGGCTGTGCACGATGATGAGCCACCGTGATAACAAGGCTCAGGATCACGAGGTGGACATGTTTCGTATCCTGTCATTCGCCTACTACTCCCAGCAGAGGCGCAGGTACCTTCTGTGTCGCAAAAACTATCTGAGAAGGATTTTCCAATTCTTGTAGAACAACCGCATCCACCGTCGGTGCCACTACTGCAACATCCGCCACTTCCTGTCAAAGGGACTCTGCTGCTACCGCTTCCACAGGATCCACCGCCACATCCTCCTCGTAGTCTGTCATCATTCTCATTGATGTTCTCCGATTGATTCAGCTCGACTACATTATCCGTATATGAAGAGCTTCCTGGATTTATCTGTTCGTTGTCTGGTAAACTGGCTGTGCCATTGATTAGTACATTATCATTCTCCATTCTTGAGCATTGGCCAGACTGCAGAGAATCAGAATAATCGTCGGCAGGGATGTCGTTGCAAAAGGAGACTCTTCTTTTTGGCAGTAGATCATAAGAGGGTGGAAGCGGCGGATACGAGGATTTTCTTCGTGATGGAATAATCTCGAAATCGATTTTACATTTGTGTAATTGAGACTTTCTAGTCTTCGAATGATAGACAGGGATAATCGTTCGGTCCTATTTTCCCTCAAGATTGGAAAGACCTAAGTTACCAATCACTTTAACTAGAAATGATTAATAGATCTAATGCAGGAGTTCCTCCACTTATTCCAATCGATCTAGTCTCACTGTTTGATTGATCATAATCGCTACCATGCTAGTAACTAACTCATTAAATCATATTTCAAAGCCAGTAGGAATAAAAAGATAATATCAATAATATACTCTACCTCAATGGGGACGATGATCTAATGGAATCAGATCCTGAATAACAACCACTAGTCTTATTTCGTTGATGCTGACGTTGCTGGTAACACTGCTGCTTTACTTCACTCCGATGATGATGCGAATTACGTTGATTCTCTCGCTGATGTTTTTTAACTTGTTGCTGATGTAAGTGTTGATGTTGTTGGAGCTGCTGTATCACAGTTCTACAAGGACTCCCTGGTCTCCTCAATACCAAGCACTTATTAGGATTGCTACTGCTACCACTTTTCTTATCAGTAAACTTATTACTGTTATCAGTATTTCGAAACTTCGAAATTGTTCCACAGATAGGTGTACTCGAGGGACGAGCTGAGTATGACCGCGCACAAGGTTGATAGCCAAAAGTACTAAAAAAAATAATGAAAATGTAATCTAAATAATCAATTTACATTGTAAACTCTGATACATTGTACAGGAACCAAATTAGTATTCCAAAGCAACAATAATAATTATATAAAATTCCTAATACCTTTGTGAGGCTGAATGCTGGCGATTGTACCAAGTCGTGACAGCAGCCGGACTTGATGAGGGGTTACAGAGTGTAACAGAACTTATAATTCCCAGATTAGAGCAATCGCTCTCTGAACAACGCTCCGTACCCGATGTCAGATGACAATTGACATCCTCGTCTTCCCCACCACCTCCACGAAGTCGTCCCTCTTCCAATTGAGAATTTTTCGTAATTCCCGAAGGAGTGTCAGGAGCGTTCTCCGTGCAGCAGCAGCAACAATCGGATATTGAATCAGAAATAGAATTCGTTTCTGCAGGAGTTACTCCCGTGTTCTTCAACACGTCTGAACAGTCCGTAGAAGGTGATGAAGGTTTAATACTCTGTGTAAATAACCTGGTGCAACAATTTCGGCAAAACAATTCGCCACAATGCGTTGACACAGTGCAGCTATCCAAGAGTTTTCGACAGTTGCCTGAAATAAGGATAACGTAGTTTGGTATCGCCGCACATTACTCTCACATGTAATTCATAACGTAGGTATAATAGAACTTAGTATTTTACTAACGACAAGAGAAGCAGAAGGTGTGCCAGACTTTTCCAAGGGCTCGTTTCTCTTCGGCGAAGTAAACCTCGCGAAGGCAACGTGGGCAAACCCCGGGCATTTATTACACGTAATGTCTGTTATTATGTTACTCGTGAGCAAAGCAGTAACAGACCTCTTTGTAATGTAATCTTATATTTCTGTAGGTAACGAATTCAGTGGTAAACTCATGCTGTTATGATGAAAGAACAATTTAAATAATAGTATGTCTTCATATCGTATTTACCAATTCTGTAAGAAAGTCTGGTAGAGCTGGATCTCATCCCCTATGATTTCTGTCAACGTGCTTGAAGTTGAATTTTTTTTTCAGGAAGACTGTTGTCTCGATAAATTTTAAAAAACATGCTTCGATCTTGAACTTCCGTTTTTCAGGTTACACAAAACGTCGATATGACGTATGCGAATTTAATAACGACTTACAACACCCGGATCGCTATGACGACATTTCACACAAAGTCAGGGTACTTATATGGATTTAAAATGATTAAATGTAGAAACTGCGAATGGTAAAACAAAGCACGGCGTATTGGTGTAAATAGTTTATAGTAGAATCGTGTTCTGAGATGGCTTGGAGAATTGTTGGGAGTCAATTCAAAATTTTACGTCCACTTGAGTATAGGTGCAAGTAATGGGTTATGAACTTTTCTATGAGTATCTGAGGAAATAGTAGCGATACTAATGAAACTATATATATTATATACATACTTATTGAGATTTAAAGTACTGTGTAATTGTAGGACAATACTTTCATTGTAGCTGATTATGTTGATGCTACGATACACATTTACATTCAGAGTTTTTTACAATCCTATTTACTTCTCTCATTTATCCTTAGCAAGCTGTTAATCACTTTTACTGCTATAGAACTTTTGTCTGCCCATTGCACATTTGATGACTTCAAGTAAATACTTTAGATGGCGAGGGTTAATTGACGACATTGATTAAACGATATTATTGGATTGTATATAATGAAAGGAGCAATTGCATCATTAATATATAGAATAGAGAATAACGGAAAATTGTAGGTGGCCGTGTGGACAGATTAAAGTTTTCCATTAGCCATAAACGGCAGCCATTAATTTAACGGCTGCAAAGCGAAAAGAAAATCTTTAAAAGTAAATTCTGAATAAGAAAAATGAGAAGACTTCTGCGAACAGTACGGAAGAAAAATGAAATAGAAGGGAAAATGAACTGACTGAAAAGTCTGGTGTATAAAGTGAATCTTGCAGTTGAGTTGCCCTTGGGGCTTATCACCTTTAAGTATCTTGCTGAAACAGTTAGATTATATGTATTCTTATTCCTTTCTTTAATTACCTATTAGGACATGTAACATTCTTCATGACGTTCCGTATCGAATATGTGGACATATGTTATTAGTAAAAAAAGTGTATTTTTGTAGAATGCATGCTAATTATTATTATAATGAACACAATTACTTACTCTTCTATATTCAAACCACTAATTTGAGTATTAAATTGTTAGACATTATGCTGATAAGAAACTCTTATCAAAGTGCGGTACAGGATACAAAGTATTACTCTTACCGTCTGTATGTACACAAAGTTCATCATATAACTGCAGTCGGTAACCATTATTGAATTACAGTCAGAAATAATGACGTAACATAGTAAAAAAAATGATATATTGTTGGCGTCGGGAAATAAAATTACATACAATATTTTATCGTTTCAGCGTGATTAAATAAGTTGTACAAGATGAAGCAGACGTTAAGAATTAATAAAAAAATATAAGAATTTTTAAAACTCATATGACTGTATGACATTGTGATTAGTGTTAAGAAACGCTCAAAACTGAAAGGACTTGTACGGAGAATCATTGAAAAAGAGCGTTTCACTCTTCGATATTCTACACATGGTACAGAAATACTAATCATTTCGCAAGAGTTTATGATAACTTGAAAATAGTCAGTGCGCAAGTAGTGATACCGTATGTCAGACGACAATTTTAAGATTCGTGCATACGTGCAGCCGTGCATCTGTGCACACTCAAGACTCTGAATAAACGTCAGGTGACATAAGTTAGCTTTACGATCAGAAGGAGGTTAAGCTGGAAGTTGCTGGAGATGGCAGCGATCAAAGGCCTGGGAAGAAACATTCCTTACTTGCGACAACAATTCGCAGCGTTTCTAGGAACTACTAGCACCAGTGTCAAGTTCATCTGCGTTGTGGTTCTCTTCTCGTATTGCTTATCTTTTTCCGAACAGGCAGTGCAAGCTTTGAGCGTAACACCAGGTTATTTGTTACCTTCGGATTTCTGGATATGGACCGCTTTCACATTTTGCTTCCTGGAGATACATTTTTGGGAAGTATGCGTGGACATCATCACGGTCGGCCTTTGTGGCAAACTAATAGAGCCCCTATGGGGTGCTATGGAAATGATGACTTTCTTTGCTATCGTCAACATTGGGGTTGCTGTACAATCAACTCTGTTCTACTTATTTTTCTACATGTGCACTGGTGATCCAGGTTTCCTTTTCCAAAGGCACATTCATGGGTTAACTGGCTACATTGCAGGTATTATGTTACCAGTTCAGTAGTAGCAATGAAATAACATAATATGAATGTGTAATTGATAGTACTTAGATGTATTGAACATAGCTTTCTTATTTTTTAATTTCAGGAGTCAGTGTGGCTGTGAAACAGATAATGCCAGATCATATTTTAATTAAGACACCGATAGGAAAATTCAAAAATAGAAACATTCCTTTAATGGTATGGTTTGTGAGCTTGTTATTGTGGCTCCTTGGATTGTTAGAAGATACCCATCCAACAATGTTTCTGAGCGGCTTATTAATCTCTTGGGTTTACTTACGATTTTATCAGAGGCATAACAATGGCACTAGAGGAGATATGGCTGATAATTTTACATTTGCAAGGTAAAGGCGTTGCTTTTGATAAATTAAATTTAAATCCTTTCCAAATATCACACAATTCTTTTTTCAGCTTTTTTCCAAATGTTTTACAACCACCGATAGCAGTAGTCAGCAATACTGTACATGGTTTTTTTGTACGAATTGGTGTTTGTAGGAAGGTTGTGCGAAGGTTTGACATGTCCAACGCACCACCAGGACTTGTCATTAATTTACCAGGGATTGACCCACATGACAGTGAAAGGCGCAGGTAAGTTTCTTACTTTTTTAAAAAAAAGGATGTAGGCCATAATTGTACATCGCTACTGCTTGAGGTTCCTATAGCATTAACAGAACAAAACAAAACTCTCCCAGACGGGAGTTAAATATTAATTTCGATAATATATGGACCATGTTCCATTTTTTTCTAATGCGTACCAATATGTTTATATTGGTCGAATAATGGTGTATGTTTTTTTTTCACTTGCAGGCAAATAGCATTGAAAGCTTTAAGCGAGAGATTGAGTAAGGATCATTCAAAGCCATGGCAATCAGATAGGAGTAAGAAACATTCTCCTGTCCCACCTGCTGTTTCTATACCAATTCCTGATTCCGCTAGACCAAAACCTTTGGCATCACCACTTATACCGCAGACTAGTGTTAATATCCACAATCATCCCTCTACTAGCACGTGATTATTTGAAATTAACTTATTTCAATTGGTTTATGTAGCAAAACATTTTTAAGGAGCTTCTAAAGAAAATGTTCCTACAGAGACGAATTTTAGTACGGCAATCTTCGATAAGACGACTGAATTTTAAGATTTTGTGTATTTTTATAAATATATTATACCGTTCTTTAGATATCTTGTGATACCGATACATTCTTAATCCTCAAAAAGGTAATTTTAGATAATCGACCTCATAGGTCTGAATCGTATTAAGAATTCAATATAATCAGGCACATTCTATCATATCTACTTCGTAATATATTAAGTAAAAGGTTTCGTTTCACGGTAAATTCTGCAACCTTCTGTTGTGATAAATATGCATTTAATATTCAAGCTATTGATGTGGGAATATCCCAGGTAATATATGCATTAAAAGATTTTCTAAAATTATTATTAAAAAGCGATTAAGTTCTCTTAGTGTCACGTCTGTACCTGAATCTATAGTGAGTGTATCTATCTTTTGTTTCTACAAATTCTTATATCATTTTCTACAGTATTTGACAAACCAGAAGATTTATAATTTTTATTTATGAAAATATACAAAATTCTTTATCGAGTACGATGCCATACATTTACCGATATAAAATATTATCTTTAGGAGTTTCTTAATCATATCGAAAAATATTAAAATTGGATACGAAATTGATAAACAAATTGTATTCTGATACTATGAGAGAATATTCCGTCTTTCATTACGATCAGAGATAGTGGGTCAGTGTATAGTGCTGTAAATGAAAATGATGTATCACTTTGCCTTCGTGTGATGTTATTAAGGCATAAAAAAGCATGTAAAAGAATTTAATTATTGTCATTAAAATTGAGAAATATTTAAAAAAAAAACATCGGAATTTAATATCGGCCTATTGTGGAATTGGAACGATATGATATTTAAGAAAAATTCATTTAAAAATTATGAGCATTTTCACGATGACTCAAAAAAATACTTTTACTATCACACGCTGGAGCAAATAATATTTGCACATAAATTACAACATTACTCGTACGAAGTACATGGACATATTGAAATAAGATACTTTAATATAAAGAAGACTTTTTTAATGTTCGTAACTCATTCGCATGCTTTTTATGTATACTCATTGAATATTCATGTTCCCATATATTTTTTTAGCCACCATTCTATTTTTATTACATTATTACTTTCACGGCTTGCGGATAGGATTATTTGACTTTGTCTTCCTATAGCTGTAAAGTTTCAAGATAGCAGACGACAGTTTCACTTGTTAGTATTTTGGAGCATATAGAAATTGTATATATATATATGCTTAAAACTCTATTGTCACTACCAAAGTTACTCTATTTCATTATATTTTTACAATTAGCACAGTTATGATCACATTACTGAAATAATTATTATCATTGACAACAAATACGATTAATTAATGAGTGTATACCTTACCCGAAATGAAATATGATATATTTTAAAGAACAAAATAAGCTTTGTAAAAATAATGATCTGTCGAGAAATTATTCAGAGCTGCCATTCATTGTAAGTCGTGTACATTCAGATGATTATAATTGGTTTTCGTAATTGATTGTATTAATCATCGCGTGCGAATGAGTTATAACTAGTAAGTTATAAATATAACTAACTATGATGCAAAAAGCGAAGGGAACAAGATACTAGAAAATGGGATACGACATTTATGTGTGATGGATTTCAAAACTATTTTTATGTGTAGTATGAAGTGGTTCTTAAAATTATTAAAATGTTTAAGCCGAGACATCTTGGCCTGGTACTTAAACAACGCTTTTGTAATTTATGAATTTATTTGTATCAATGGAAAATCCTTAGTCAATTAGTAGGCTGTTAATGGCGTAAGAAATGGAAAAGCGTTGCAAAGTGTAAGGCTAAGATAAAGTGTGTGAATAAGTGGACATTCATTAGATATACACACAGAATTTAATATAGTCGTAATAATTATATTTAAATATTAAATATACTTGATTTTGTACATACATTATATCCAATCAATCTGTATAATATTAAATTTTCTTGATAAAGTTATTTAATCTTTAATTTTTAACGTCACATAAAGTAAGACGAAATCTGACAGATGAGCAATTATGTCGTGTTTTGCAAAATATACTGTTTGTATAAATTTCTTTGATATGAATAAACTTACATGTAAGTTTTACTAAAAAAACATCAAAAATGTAAAATCGGACAGTATCATAAATTAAAACATATGTCCATACATCATCCATCGACAGGCAGTAAATCGGTATACAGGTATGAGTAAAAAAAAATTCTATTTATTGCTGTACAAGCATTATGAAACTCCAGCTAGAATCGCGCCATACTGTATCTCATAAGCTATATAAAATATATCAGAACCAATTTTCTGTACTTGTTAAGACATCAAGTATACAACACTTTAAGAGCTGATATTAAAAGCAGCCTAAATAAGTGTTATCAGTGTCCAAATATTGGCTATCGACGAGTAAGGAATTCATCACGATGCGTGAGAGCAAATCCATTCGAGCAGTAGTATTAGCTCCTATCTGTAAAATTGTTGTTGATGTTGAGTCCATTGCGGCTGTGGAGGTGGTGGTTGTTGTTGAGAAAGTGGACCGTATTGCGGCTCTTGCATATAAGCAGCTGGGGATGGTCTAATGGCAGATGGAGCAGATGAGACGTATTGTTGTTGAGGTGGAGGTGGCACGTACGTCACTTGAGGAGGATGTTGAGGTTGAGAATAATATTGCTGGGTTTGCGAAACTGGTGGAGGAACATTATAGCCACCGTAATTGACTTGCGGTAAAGGAGGCTGATAGTAATGATGACTTTGTTGAGTGTGAAGATCATGAGTATTCACAGTATTGTCTTGTATAGGTACAGTGATAAGATTCGTTCTCATGGGAGGATTTGTTGGGGGTGGAGGCGCTGAACTTTGTGGATAATTTTGCATGGGAATTATTTGTTGCGTTCTGTGTTGCTGCCTGTGTTCCACAGGCTGCTGGGTCACCATTGAATTTACACGTGGATCATTTCCCATTATTGGTTGCACCATATGCCCAGGCACTTGTTTCATTCGGCTGCTCTGCATCGATACTGATGGTACTTTTGCTAATTGGGACTCTAGTTCAGGTTTTGAATGAACGTATTGCGGTGGATCAACCTGCATTCCTTGAACAGGTGGCGGTGGTGCTGATATATGACGGTGATTAATATGCGCCTATATATTAGAAATTGTTCCATTTCAAACTGCATCCTATTTATAATGGTTAATTTTATAGAAGTACATAAAAAGTTATATAATGCACCTGTAAGTCTCGTTGACTGAGATATGTTCTTCTACATCCTGCATTACCATAGCGGGTTCCTCCATGAGTGCACATAAATACCGTGCCTAATCCTGTCTGTTCAACTCGAGATACTTTTTCCATGCAACGTGGACACACTTTGTCTTCTCTTTTGGCACATGATAAGCAAAACACATGCTTACAAGGAATCTGTAATGGTTTAATGCAGCAAAAATTAAGAAAGGCAGTCTTACATATACTGTTAATAACTACATACCATGCGTCCATAAATTAAAATTGGTTTCAAGCATTTATCGCAGCAATGTATCATTGGATTAAGAACTTTCTCCCCAATAAGGTTGACCCGGTGGTCCCATCTTAAACGAAGCATTGGCTCTGGTGGACCTCTGTTGATTGTCGTAAATGTTGGTGCTTCCAATTGCGATATATCGGCCTCTAAATCAAATTGTTGCTCAAGAGGAGGTTGCTGTACTTGTTGTGGTTCATGTTGTTCGGGTTCTACACTGCTTGTTTCCATGGGTGTTTCTTCAATAGTTTGAGGAGTGTCCTCTTCGTCACTTTCTATTACCTACAGAGATATGTATATAATAAAATACGGAACAATAGATTGCAATCTTCAGTCACAAAATCAACTTTTCAATAGTTATATCAGTATACCTTGACAGCTTTCTTGCCACGTCCACGCGCACGCCCTCGAGGTCGACCTCGACCTCTACCACGCGCTCGGCCCCTCAATCGCTTACTACTATCTTCCTCCATTACTGCAATAAATAATATAATCTTAAAAATTTGAAGTCATTGAGTCAAACTCAAAGTGTTATTCCTCAGAGGTTAGCTTAAAACTCAACAGTGAGCAAACAGTAGATAAACTTATCACAGTAGGCTCAATATATAATACGTATATATTAATTTATAATATGCATACAATTACTTACTATTATCAAGTATTTACAAAGAAAATTAATTGAATTCCAAATATTCTCTCAGAACATTCCACTGCCGCGTATGGAGCGGACCAATAGACCAATGAATTCCAATCTCCAATGAAATAATGTATGTGTGTTACTACGCCAGTGACACGAACGTGGTCCGCGTTCATGAACACCGGTTACCATGGAAACATTTTTTCAAGCAGGTGTGTACCATTATATTAGAATTAGGCTCCAACAATTATTCATAATTTGCTGACGATAATCAATACTTGTAAATAGATGTTTTATATTTTATTAAATCAATATAGGTACTCGTGGTACTATTGTGCGGAAATCATTGAGAACTCAATGTCTCCGAACGACTATCATTTTATCATTTTTGAGATATAAAATTTGACGTCACTGTGCAAGCAGAGATGAGTAGGGAGATGCACAACACTATAATTTTAGGCGACATCAAAATCATGGCGCTAAATCGTAGCGGCGAGTCTGGAAGTAGGATATTGTGATCATCGCCTCCGTCGACAATGCGAATCCCGTCGTAGCCGAGCTAAACGTGAACACGGACGTGTAGCTTGGCGGACAGAGGTTCTCCGCTACCTCATCGCTGGTTCCAAAAGCAATCCTTAGCACGAGACCGGGAACTATAGAACTTTTTAAGAACTCTTGAAAAAGCCTATTGTTGAAACATTTTTAAGACATTTTTAAGAAAGTGCGGTGCCAACCTGACACCCGCGTAACTCCTCAATTTTTAATAAATATTATTGGATCTTGAATTACTTTCAAAATTTATTCAAAGTATCTACTCCATATATTCTGCGAGATTTTGATTTAGCCTCAATTTTATATTTTGAAGAAGTAAATCAAGATCCAATAATATTTATTAAAAATTGAGGTGCTACATGGGTGTCAAGTTGGCACTTTCTTAAAAATGTCTTTAAAAAATTTCAACAATAGGCTTTTTCAATAATTCTTGAGAAGTTCTATAGTTCCCGGTCTCGTTCTAAGAGTTGCTTTGGGAACCAGCGGTGAGTAGCGGAGAACCTCTGCCCGCCAAGCTACGCGTTCGTGTTCACGTTTAGCTTGGCTACCACGGGATTTGCATTGTCGACGGAGGCGATGATCACAAAATCCTACTCCCGGACTCGCCGCTACGATTTAGCCCCATGCTTTTGGTATCGCCTAAAACCGAAGCGTTGTGCATCTCCCCACTCATCTCTGCCTAAAACCGGAGCGTTGTGCATCTCCCTACTCATGTCTGATGCAGATGCACACTTTGAACCACTGTGACTGATTAACTTTTATACGTATACGCATGTTGGATTGCACTTGGACCAATTTCATAGTGTAGGTTTGTAGATCCACTTGTTCAACATGCGATGATTACAAACTTCTTCGCATTCGTGTTTCCTTCACAGTTTAATGAATTTTGGTAAAGTTCTAACAAGATTGTAAGAAGAACAGTAATCATGTCGTGTTGTTGTGGTGATGATGACGATGAGCAACGCCCGGAATCTAATAGAGTCCGAGGATGCACCGATATTTTTTGGCTTTGTCTTTTCATACTCTTCTGGTTTCTTATGGTATTTAACGTTTTAGTCTATGTATTATACATTCTTTTAAGTTACAGACTTGTCATTTTATTATAATTTTTATATGTATGCACAGATTTTAATAGCAGCCTTTGCTCTGGTTTATGGCAATCCATTAAGATTAATTAATGGATATGATAGTTTTGGAAATACTTGTGGTATGAAAAACAATCAGAAATTTGGCAGTATGGAGCTTTCTGGACAAGATACTAGTGACAAGCCGTTAGTATAAAATGAAATGCTTAGTGAATAATACATGTGCAATATATTTGTTTATTTGATAATAGTAACTGACTGTATTAATAACTCTTTTAGATATTTGTTTTTTTTGAATATCAAGGATGTTAAGCAGTCATTGAAAATTTGTGTTAAACAATGTCCAGATAGAACATTGAATACAATGGATGATATATGTCAATTTTATAAAGAAACTGGATCACAATTATGTCATGATCGTCCAGGCAGTGATTTTACTGCCTGTAATACTGGGGATAGTAAGAATAAAACTGGATCCTGTCCTGTACCACCAGTGTATAGCAGCATTCCAATTTTAAACCGATGCATTCCAAAAGCTGTAAAAGATGTGGGTAAAACAATTATATCAAACCTATATGGATTGATTAACTCATGGGATTTGATAGAGCAAATATTAGGAGATTTATGCAAAACGTGGAGAGAGGTTTTAGCTCTATCATTCTTGGCTTTTGGTGTGTATAATTCTCCTCATTATTAACTATGATATATTATTAAGATATTCTGCTATATGAGATATTAAATTTTATATAATTTCAGTGTTATCATTGTTTATGATTGCAATATTTCATTTATTGGCGAGCATCGTAACATGGATTGTGATGATTCTCGTCACTGTTGCTTGTATAGGTAAGTTGTCACTAATTTTCATATATTATCAATTAGTCATTACGAGATTATTATATATAATAATAAAACTGTTGTAGCTGGTACAGGTTTGTTGTGGTGGACTTATATTGGCATAAAAGGAATGCTTGATAAAACAGATCCAAGTCAACTTTTGGAGGAATCTGTTAGAAACGAAAGGGCATTTTTGGCTTTTGCTATTATTGCTACAATCATTACTGTAAGTTGCATATAATACTACTGATTTGTAATTTCTCTGATCCAGTAGTTGTAAAATCACGTTTCTTCTAGATTATTTTATTATTTCTCTTGTGTATACTGCGTAAACGGATTAGCTTTATGGCCGCCTTATTTAAAGAAAGTGCAAAATGTTTGGCGGAACTTCCTGGCCTATTCTTCCAGCCACTATTGACGTTTGCAGCCCTCATTATTTTTTTTGCGTTCTGGGTAACAATAATTCTCTGTCTAGCAACAGCTAGTAAGTGTTTCTTTTTGAAAAGTTTTACGCTTAAATACATCGTACGACCCAATTCAGTACGTATAACTTCCATACAATTTTTAGATTATCCTGAAACTAAGTCTGTACAAATGTATGAAAATCGCATATTTGACTCATTGAATTTAAGTTCAACCGAAGCCAAAAGTGCATCGACTGAATCGAAACCAATTGAGATTTCTATCAAGAATTTCAAAAGTAATTAATAGTTTATACTGTTGTTTTCCTATACTTAGTTGTATGACTACCGTTAATTAAACAAAAATTTAGCGTTTACTCTAGTCGAATCTGTTGATGCTACATGGGTGAAATATATGTGGTGGGTTTACATTATTGGCCTAATTTGGACTTCAGAATTCATTATTGCTTGTCAAGATATAGTAATTGCTGGAGCAGTTGCACATTGGTACTTTAAGTAAGTGCTTGCCATATAATATTTTGCCCTGGTGCTATAATTATAATTCTAAATTAAATTTTTCTTTCCTCATAGAGGTAAAAACGCCAGTGCATCTCCCGTATGTTCGGCAATGGGAACATTAGTAAGCTATCATTTAGGATCCGTCGCTTGTGGCTCATTTTTGATAACAATATTTAAATTACCACGTCTAATTTTGACTTATCTTCACGCGAAGTAAGTAAAAGTTCATAATAACTATTAAAATTTTTGTATATGCATGGTTATCACCTGAATCTTATTTGTGCTCTTATTTACAGATTCGAGAAAACAAAGGAAACATCTCCTTGCGCTCAATGCGGTCTGAAATGTTGTATCTGTTGCTTCTACTGTTTGGAGAAATTTATCCGGTATATGAATCATAATGCATATACAGTAATTGCAATTGAAGGAACACATTTCTGTAATGCAGCTAGAATTGTATGTATAGCATCAGTATATTTTACATTGATTTAAAACTTTAATCTGATAATAATTCATAATATTTATAGGCGTTCACAACACTTGTCAGTAATGCACTGCAAATAGCAGTGATTAATGGAGTGGGCGATTTTATTTTATTTTTGGGAAAATGTTTCGTCACAGCCGCCACCGGAAGTGTCGGATTATTGTTCATGAGACAAGATCCAAGATTGCATTTTTATGCTGCTCCAATATTTGTCACCTGTGTTTTTGCTTTCTTTATCGCTCACTGTGTTATTTCCCTATATGAGGTTAGATATAATAATAAATATAATCATATAAAATTTATTGACAATTACTTTAACATATTTTAAATATGTTTCAGACTGTCATCGATACACTATTTTTATGTGTCTGTGAAGACAAGAATTTGAACAGGGAAAACGGTCGATGGAGACAATCTGCACTGGCACAAATAGGCTCTAATACAAGTAGTAACGGTCAACAGTCACATGAACTGGCTCCAATTAACCAATAAGTACAGTTTTAAAATTTATTGTCGCGTTTTCCAAGTAATTTTTGAAGTTATGTTATATTCTCGATCTTTCCAATAAGGGTATCGTGTTAGCTGCAAAATGCGAACACGTCGGTAGTACCAATATAGTCCAAAAGTTTTTCCAGACCGTGAATTTTTAGTCAATTTGCCTTTGATATCGTTTTATTCAATTTTATATCGCAAATAACTTATTTTATAATTATGTGTATGAATAACTTTTTATTCAGGAAAGTCCACGTTTACTCGGCATAAACTTTCAGTGCAATTATACAAAACTGAAAATAATTGTCATACAAAGCATGTAAGTCCTCGATTCGTATGCATATTATATATTTTTAGGCGCGAAGGAATGCATAAGTTTTGGATGCAATTGTTCCATAATTTAATTGGTAACTAACAATTATACATATACTTATTGAAGAGAATATGTCACATACTCAAATCGTGATTTACATAATCACAATTGCTAAACATTTATAAATATTAAAGACAGGGCTCAATTTAGATAAACTGCCTGAAATGAAATACGATAAAACAGAGTCTGCTTTAGCATAAGTATTATTGGTAAAACTACTGACAACTTTGCCTATGCTGACGGCGCTGATTCCGTCTATTTATTTTACTGCAGCATTTAGGCATTGAACGACTAATTACGAGTGAATAATCTATGTAGTATGTATCTATGTATGTATGTATGTAATCTATGTCTATGTAGTTTATGGATCGTTAGTAAATCAAAAAATATGATATATTTAGCACAATAGTATTGATATATTAGTATTCAAAAAATCTTCCGCATTTCGCATTTTATAAATGAAAGTGGACAATTTTAATGAATCTATACAATTAATGTGAATATATGAATGGTATAATGATGATGGCTGGATTAGTATTTTCATATGAATGGAAAAACAAAATTGCCATAACATAACTGAAGCTTACAAGGCAACTGTGAACTCGAACGTTTCATAATGAACTGTTTTTCAACAATGTGGTATATTATTACTTGAATACATCCAAAAGCCTAAATATTACTAGCAGTACTTATCAATATCCTACTGTAAGAGAAATTATAATTTAATGTAATTCATCGATAAACCATGGAAAAAAGACTTGTATTAATTAATGTACAAAATATTTTAAGACCTCTAAGCTGGAATCATTCATTAAAAATCTCTGAAATTTTTAAAATACTATCACAAGTATCACAAAATGAAAAAAATGAGATTACTAATATGTAACATTATTACATGCGTATAATTTATATTTGAAGCTCCTTTTAAGAATGTATTTCACTTATATCAAAATTATAGGAAAATTCTAAACAAAAATCCAGAGTGGATTTAATTTGGAAATCGTAAAGATCGATAATTATGCAAATTAATGATTAAAAGAGGCTAAAAAATGTTTTATGAGGTGTAATAACTTCCTTTTAATAATATTTTATGCTTACGAATTTTTTCAACATTTATAAAGTTGTTATAATCAAGATTTCTCAGATTAACATACTTTAAACTGGGATTATAAACTTAATGTAATTTTAATATACTGTGAAATGTACTATCCACTTGTTTACTATTTAGAATCTAATACTTCGATCACAATTGCAAGTTATTTGGAATATCATAAGGCACATATAAGACAATTATTGTCTATACATAATCATAATATAGTTTATGCACATTTTTATATTCATGAAATTATTTTTGTAAATCACATTATTATGTATAGTTCTATCTTCTAAACAGATAGATTCAAGTTTATTCGTAATAACGGAAATTTATGCTCAGAAACACCGCATATTATGAATTATATGGTCGCACAGAAGAAAAATTCACTTGTCTTACATGATGTTACGGTTTGGTTTAATAGTCATCAGTCGTCAATATAGAATTAATAAGGGAATTCGTCTTTTTTCACTACTCACATACAAGGAATTCATAATTCCTGATAGTTTTCTTGGTCTTCTTATTGTTCTTTCTTTTTTGGAACTTACAATTACACTGACTAGCTTATAATCCTCACACAACTTAAAGATTGCTGTCTCTCCATTTCTTTCTGCAATATATGATTCTGGTATAACGACTCATTGTGCCCCCTCATACGTACCTGAAAATCGACGTATGCAAATGCATGTGGATCAAATTTTTGCTTCATCGTACCAATACTATACCGATATCTTCGTGAACTGTGTCCCTTTTTTCCTAACTCACTTCACTTGATAAAAGAGATGATAAACAAATAATATACCTAATCAACTGTTTGTGTTCGCAACAGCTATCAATATTAATTCAATAGCCCAATAGTTATTATAAATATTATTTACTTTCCTTTAACAATGAATAGAATTTAACTATATTTTATATTAATAAATTTTTAATATTACACTGTATTACATATATGTATAGTGACAAAATACAGATTTAAATTAAATGTAGAATCATTTACTTTATGTAGTAACATCCTCTTTGAATATTTCATCCAGAGGATTTAGTGCATATGATTTTTCTGGCTTATTGGCTTGCAATGCTAATTTTTGTTCTACCCTATTAAGATATTTTCCCGCTGCTCTTTTACTTATTGATTGCCGATACTGTAAAATAAATATGATAAGTAACACGAAATAATGTTTTGCACAGTAATATTGCCATGGAATAAATTACCTTAGCAGGTGAGATGTAATTAGGATTGTCCCAGAGCGTTTCCCCTCCGAAACTACTTGCAAATATTTTCACAGGATTTAAAACAAACCTCGGCCCAATCTCTGCCAATCCTCCATCTTCAGTAAGGATTTGGAAATTTCTGAACCATATTCTATTATCAAGAACACTGAATGTATATACATGATCAAAGAATGGCTGACTTTTGGGATGATGATTTGGAACTCCAAATATCTGTGTGAGCAACTCTTTCAGCAGACTATATTGTGGGCATGTACTGAAATTATCATCAAAAGAAAGTAGAGGACGAGAACCCTTCAAACAATTTCCAGTCATTTTTAATTCCCCCATGGTGTAAACTAAAATATTAATTGATAAAACAACATAACAAAATCTTCAAATATCTTAATGAAATTTATATATGAAAGAAGTTAAGTAGAACAAATACATACTGTTTTCAACAAGAAATTTTACACAGGGTCCAGTGGGAACATTAGAAAGCCACATATATAAGTCTTTCTTCTTACGACCTTCAAATAATAAAGCTTTGTTGCAATTTTTCATTTCACACATTTCATTTACAACCTGAAGAGTTTTAGAACGCTCCATTTTACTCTCAGGGCGATGATGAGGCATAAGAGTCTTAATATCTTCCATCAGATGTCGATCCCTGTGGTTAATACCACGAGATGCAAAAACTAGCACACGTTGTTTGTTTATCCATTTTATCTAAAAAAAATTAAGGTTCCTACATTCCTCATAAGGTTAGATTATTTTGAATTGGGCGTAAAATTAATAATAAGAAATAACTTATCTACTGCATTTTATGTACAATCTACTATTCATAATGTTTAACAATTCTATATTTCTGCGAACAAATATATATTCATATAAATATTCCAATGAGGGTTATGTAGCTAAACTTGTATACAAACTTTCTTAGGTGCTGGTTCATCTGATGCTCTTTTGGCAGGTGGTAATTCTTGTTCCTCAGCCTTAGTTTCATTCTCCTTTTCAACTTTCCTCTTCCTTTTTAACACTTTCTTTACCATTATTGTAAAAAATTCTTCTATTTGAAAGTACACGTGCTAGTGCTCACTGCCGCGCGTTGTAAATGTGCTCCGGTTCAAATAGAAGGCGTGATCGATAATCTTCTTCTTGTTCTTCTTTATATAGGCTTAGTTTCCACCGCAATAAGAGTTGATTTGAAACAAGGTTGAAACAGAGGTGAGTCGAACGGTAGTTCGGTGGAAACGCCAAACTCAATTTTAGACCTAACCTTACGAATGATGCCAGGTTGGGCGAAATCAGGTTTGGTGGAAACGCGCATCTGGGGACCTGCGTAAAGTTGGCCGGCCAATTTTTATTTTTTAAACTTTTTTTAATTCCAATCATTTGATAGTCGTTTGATAGTCTTGTAAAAACGTTTGATAGTCATTAGTCTTTTCAGAAAATCAAAATCAAAATCTCGTGTGAAGTTGGCTGGCATTTTTTTGTTTCCAACCAGATTTTGTTTTTCCGGAGCTCAATCGATGTAAAACCGTTTGATAGTTACGAATTGACTAATAAAAACGTTTGATAGTCATTAGTCTTTTCAGAAAATCAAAATCAAAATCTCGTGTGAAGTTGGCTGGCATTTTTTTGTTTCCAACCAGATTTTGTTTTTCCGGAGCTCAATCGATGTAAAACCGTTTGATAGTTACGAATTGACTAATAAAAACGTTTGATAGTCAATAGTTTTTTTCAGATATCAGTGTCGCTATCAAATGCATGCAATGAACAAAGAAACAATGATGCGCTCTCTGCTCATTTTCGAACACACCCATAATGCTCTGGCGCACATGAAAAAGCTTCCACGAATGGACTTATAGCTTTTCCTGGGTTCAATTGACGCGAAATCGTTTGATAGTTGCGAATTAATTAATCTAAACGTTTAATAGTCCATCGTTTGCAACTATGTAGTACGAACAGTTTGAAATGTTTTAAAGGATCCTACTGGATCCTACATGCGGATCTTGTGGATTTATAACGTTAGTTGAAAAGATGAATGAAGAAGATGCAAATAAATATGTTCAACCAAAGAAGAGAAACATTTGGGAAGTGCATGAAATCTAAAATAATTTTTTGACATTTAGTCTTGGTTCCACAAACACGGTTTATGGTTTAAACATTGGTTTATTCCCAAAATGCAAGTGTCTGGCTATGTTATTATTTTCTAAATAAAACTGAATGTTACACAGTTGAACTTCGCTAACTCGTATCTCAGGGGCATAGCTAATTTCTTTGAGCATGAGAGGTTTCGCTTTATCGAAGTTGAGTTATAGAAGGTAACCAAAACAATATTCGACTCATAGAGGCTCGTAAAAATTCGCCTAATATAGCGGAGATAATCTTTAATTTAAGGCGTAGTACATACACACATAAATACAATTTATACAATATATATCCAAAAAATTAAACGTATTTTTCTAAACATTTTTTGGATGTCATTTCGAGGGAAAAAACCTGTGACTCGGAATCAACCATCTATTTGACTGATAAGCATTAGCTTGCAGACGGAATTAGGGAGTGTAGGTTGTTGCCGCTTCGAGTTGCGGAGGTCAGAGTATTGGAGTTTTGAATTATAGTGGTAGCCTTTGACTTATAGAGGTCAGGTTTCTTTAAACTCGAATTACAGAGGCAAAATGATGGACAGTAATACGTTCGAAAAACTTCGAGTTATTCTGTTTATTCTTCGAGTTACGGAGGTCTTTGCAAGGGAACCGACTGTGCGTCAGAATTGTTTGAGCCGACTGTACTACAGAAGCTTTTGCATTCACCAAGAGTACTTTTCACTTGATTGTTTTACCACTGAAACCACGATTTAAAGCTGGTTTAAATAGTCAAACAGTTAAGAAGCCACAAGCTCAAAGCTCAAAGCTCAAAATATAAATTTTGGATATACCGGAAGGTTTGAAAGGTTGTTCGCGCAGATCAATTTTGGTACCATGACCATGTACTAGTTTTCCGGGTGGTTTGATTGGCCACCGAACCTGTCAGGATACCTATGGTATTATGGATCAAAATCCAATAAAATATTTGATTTATCTATTAATTCTTTAAAAAAGCAATTACAAGATTTAAGGAAATTAAATAAAGTTAAAACGCAATCTCTATAGCAGAATTTATTAATTTCTCAAAAAAACATTAGATGGTATAAAATTTTCTGAGATAAAAAATTGTCCAGCGCACCACCAAAATGAATATTAAAATTTTTATTGGAGAACAATGGTACTCCATCAATTCATATGCTTTTATATGATGCTATTTTATTTTCTCTTGATGTTCTAATAAAGATTCACGATTTAAAGTAAATAACTGGAATTACTCAAGATATCAAATACCTAGCAATGCAGAAATAACATTTAGTAAAATCTTTGCCTTTATGATCTGAATTAGTTTACTCAAGATTATTTAAATTTTACGACAGAGCATTAGACACCCCACTCCATGAACAAATTCTAGTGCTGATTGCAATATTTCTCTATGAAACTGTTGAAATAAAATTGTAATATTACTAAGGCTTGTAAGGCTTAATCAGATTTTCAGAAAATTCCTGGACGTATTGAGCTCCGCGTACTTCTCGTTCTAGTAAGGGTAGCCTTGTCACATGAAAGTCTTCATATAGATCTGTAATCTGTGAGAGAAACAAAACGAAAATTTCTATACTTTACATGTTCAAACTGACAAATATATACTTGCAAATATACCTAGTAGCAGAACTAAAAGTAGCTGCTACAGGTAATGTACTCAAATGGTGTAGATACTTTTAATTAGGCTTTCCAGTAATTTTCTATCAATATTTTCATTTACAACCAATGATGAAATTGAGGTCGCGCATGTAAAATTAAGGGAAAGTCAATGTAGCACAATAAAATTAAAGATTTTATCCACAAACTATTGTTAGTAAGATAATATTAGCAAGTGTAAGAAATCAAAGTGCATATTTATCAGAAAAATACTGAACCGCATACAAACTTGTGACGTGGAATATTATAAGTAACAGTAAAGTTTATAGGGATAAATACTAAAATGGCATTATAAATATGTTACCTGATCTAAATATTTATCCTGAACCTTGTGTCTGGCAAGACAAAGTCTACATGGAACATCACCCTCTCTCAAAAATAATAGTTGATTCACGATAATGTTGTGAGTATCGATGCCACATTTAGTTAATTCTTGTACCAGTCGTTCAGTTTCATAAAGCGACAAAAATTCTGCTATGCAAACGCAGATAAAAGTTGTTTGCTCTGGATCTCTAAATTGTTCGTTCACTTGCCGAATAACAGTCAACATCTCTTCCATTTTGTTAGAGAACGTATCGACATTGAAGTCCGTCATGCCAAGAAGAGAGCTTATCTGGAACATTGTGTTAGTATAAAATGTATTATATATTAGTATACATTTTGAAAATCTGATGATTCTAATATTAAAATTTGTAATTATAACATGAAAATTCGTAGTTCAAGATAGTGTCAGTCACATATTTTTACAAGATTTATTTACAGTTTCTTAGGCTTTCATTACTCTCAGTATTTCCATATCCATATGTCTCAAGATGTAATATTAAACACAAACATGAAATTATCTTGAATATCACCTTCACTGATTTACCATTATTATGTTTATATATTAATATTATTAAAAACTGACCTGTGTGATAAACGGACTAATCTTCATTTTAAGCCTCATTAATTTGCCTAAACCTTTCTCGACGACTTGAGGGAATGACAGTAACCGTAATGTGTGCCCAGTTGGCGCAGTATCAAATACAACCACAGAAAAATTCATTCCTTTTACAAGCCTGAAAGAAGGGAAATCTGTATAACAAAATACAGCAGACTCTCTGTGATGCACTGGATCAGAAATTTTCATTTTAATTTATGTATATGAAACGTATAATATTCATAGTAATTCTTACTTCATGACCTCTGCATAACTCATTGCTTCATCAATACCAGGGAATGCTCCAACAATTTCTTGCATTACATTTCTACTTAATCGCATTGCTTCACCACCTAAAACTTTAGTAATTATCAGAAATTAGTATTATACCACTTTAAGTAATATTACGATAAAAAAAAAGTTTAGGTAGTATTAAAAGAAACCTAGCAATGAGCTATAAGTTATTGTATTGCAATAACAGATATTGTAGTTGGTTCACAAGTTTAATGTGTTTTTATAACAGATTGAAAACAATAAAGTCTCTAACAAGTCATAAAGATTGCATTATTTACAAATTATCAAAAAAAACATTGAACTCATAAATTGACTAATGCAACTACTTCAAATACTATTAATCGTAGACAATCGCATATTCGTAATGAAATTAAACAGCTATATAAAATAGAATAAATAGAAAACTAAATATATATATATAATTGAAATATGATTTGGGTAATGGAATATACATGAATCTTTCTTATTATATTTGATCTTTTTCATTCTTATATTTCTGTGTTTGGATAGAAACAATCCATTGCTGGCGTTATCGAATACAAATACTTGATTTTAATAACTCACCTGTTTCATTCTCAAAATATTCTTCTGGTAGTTCTGTGATACCTACATTAGGATCAATCTCCATAGCAAAAAGATTATTGAAACCTTTCACCTTTGTTGGTACTTTACTAAACTTTTGATCAAAAGCATCAGAAATATTATGCGCTGGATCAGTTGAAATAATAAGTACATTTTCTCGCACTTTAGCCAACTGGACTGCTAAGGAGCAACTGGAAAGGATGGAAACATTATTAGAAGAAACATTTGCCATGCTATGATAAAAAAATATTTCGTCGCATTAATTTTAATAGACTTTAGAATGTTCAAATCGTAAATTTACGTTTTCTCGCGTAATACTAATCATTAAATATAACGTTGAGGTTACATCTCATATACCTGCACGTTGTTTTTCCAACACCTCCTTTACCACCAACGAAAATCCATCGTAAAGATCGCTGCTCAATAACGTTTCTTAAAGATGGTTCAAATTGTTCACCTTCTTCTGTGGCATCCGTATTCATTTTCACTTGCGCAAAAATTAAAATGTCATCAAAAGACGATACACTCCTACTCTGCAACTGTCTGTGATACACAGCATGCTCACTAGTAGTCTCTTCCTACACTGGTCAAGCGATGAATACTTATGTGTGTTAACTCATAATTTGAATATTTTTCATTTTGTGAAGTTTTTATAGCTGAATACACATCTAATACTTTAATTTATTTTTCTCATTTTTCACTCCAACAAACACGATTGTAAATTTGCTATACGTTTTACGTAGTTGCTTTATACACATAGAATGTATGCAATTGATATATGTATGTACACACCGTTACAAAATATGTTTGCATAGCCCTTTTCAAAGTTTTTACGATTTATATAAAGGTAATATTTCATACATGCGACCGTGACAACTGTTGCGCGACGAAATCACGCTGCTTGGTTAAAAATTGACGGGATATGGATGTACTTTCGTCCCTCGTCGAGTACTTTCTGTCGCACAAAGTAGAGCCAAGATGAACTTTATGCGACAGAATTCTATCTTGTATACGACCATATGCAACGAAGCCTGCAAACCGTGGAAGACGTACGTGGATAAAGTTAGTAGATTTTTATTAGATTTCTTATATAAATTTTCAATCCTAGCAAGCTAATGGAAATGAGCAATATAATTATAATTATCAGAACTCCAAGACAACTCGCAGAGCATCGCCATATTTCATAGATGCGGCGGAACTCTTCACACCAGCGTTGTTTCGTCGCGCGACAGTGTTGCAGTCGCATGCACAGACAACTTCTTGGATACACAGCACTCCCGTGCTTTAGGGCTCATTCAGATCGAAAGCAGCGGGAAGCGGGAAGCGAGCAGCGGAATCTTGGCCGCGAAACTAAATTTTCTGCCTTTTTATATTAGGTAACCGTATGAAAGCATTAAGAAATAAGTTATTTGCCTTAATTACGTATATAGAGTCAAGTATACTACATTGAAAATAATAATACATAATTTTTTTTAAAACATGACTTCATTACTAAGCAGATTCCAATGCTTGGACTGCGATTTTGGAAAGTTGATCAACGTTCAACTTTCCGTAGCAGCGACATAGCAAAAAGATGATGGCAGCCCTACTTCACGTCATAGTTTATGTTTGAACTACTCCGTACTCCAATACCGGAATCCTTCCTTCCTTTCCTTATGGCTGACTCCTCCAATGAGGAGATGTGCCAGACCAATACCGGAATGAAATCTGCAGTACTGGCAGCACTGCCAGTGTATATCGGAACACGCCGGTAGTCTCCTTTGTTACAATTTAACATCACGACCAATCACAATATGCCTATGCGTATGTACGTTGGAAAGAGGTACCACTCTATTCTAAAGTTTCAAGCTGCTTGCTGCTCGCTTCTCGCTTCCCGCTGCTTTCGGTCTGAATGAGCCCTTAGACTGTTAGCACGAGCAGCAACGCCATCTGATCGGTAGGTTGTATAAGTATTCTATGCTTTACTATAGCCCATTTGGAGTGTCCCCCCCTGGTCGCATGCATGAGATATTATCTTTAACAAGCTTTCTCATCATCGAGCTACTATATTTACTTAAGAGTGAGGTTATTAACGTGTTGTGTTTGACAATATAATTCGTAGAAATTTAGTTAATATTATATTACAGAAGTGTTACGTGATACGGACTTATAAAAAAAATAAAACAAACCAGTTTTATTTGCTTGGCACAAATAAAACAGTTTACAGTAATCAATTCAATAAGTAAAGTGACTATATAATGGCTGTGAAGAAGCCGAATAAACGCGCACGTGTAGTCCCAAAACACAAACGTCCTCGCGAAATTAGAAAATTTAAAATACAACAGAAAGATGAACCTGTCACACAGACGAAGAATCGAAAGACTTTGGTTGTCGCTCAGGAAATTAAGTTTGCTAAATTACTTGCTGGTAATGATAAGAAGGTGAGGGATAAAGTCCTAAAAAACCTCAAAAAGTGGTTGGTGGTTCGCTCCAAAAGTTCATTTGGTAATTATTTATTCTAAAATTTTGTCTATTATTACAAAATCTAAAGATATTAAATTAAATGGTTCTTGCTATGTACTTATTTTTTTTATTCAGCATTTACGGAAGAAGATTTCATGAGACTATGGAAAGGTTTGTTTTACTGTATGTGGATGTCTGATAAGCCTTTGATTCAAGAAGAACTGGCTGAATCACTTAGCAAAATTGTACACTGTTTTGATTACATGGAAACTGCACTATTGTATACTAAATGTGCATTGAAAACTTTGTCTATCGAATGGTTTGGAATTGATCAGTATAGGGTTGATAAATTTGAAATGGTAGTTTTATATTAAGATCTATATTTCTTATTTTTAACTATTTGTATGAAATTTTTGTTTTATGTGTATTATTAAATTTTCAGTTGGTGAGAAGGATTATCAGGCAAACGTTTGAAATGTGTAAAAAAAGGACTTGGAGTAGAGATTGGGTTAAGGGTGTTGAACAAATACTAGAAAGCTTATTGATAGATGCAAAAACTCCATTAGGTTTTACTTTACATCTGACAGAATTGTACATGGAAGAATTATCTAAGGTATATTTTTATGTGATGTATAAAACTTTTTGTGCTCCGCTTTACTAGATACTGTCATTTGAAATCTGAATGATTAAGCATTGAGACAATTTTTTGATTCTACATGTAATTGAGGTTTTTTTACTTTATGGGGAGATAGGTCAGCTGTGGTCATATATTACCTGAAGTTGTTACGGAATTAGTACGACCCTTTGCAGTGCAATTAGCAGTAATAAATGATGAAAGACAAATTAGTCATGTTGTAAGGCATATTTTTCAATATTTACTATTTCAATCAGATGTTGGTATGGAATATTTAGCAAAATTTCAAGCTTGGAAAGAGGTGAGTAGAGAGATTTAATAAGAATTTTTTTTTATGGAACATATTTTATGATGTTTATTAAAACCACAACAATCATCTTGGATTACTGATATATTAAAAATGTTGGAATTATTGTGTTAATATAATTTGTATAACAAACAGGCTGGCTTTCCTGGTGGGGATATTGATTCTATGCAAAAACTTGAAATATCTGCCGAGGAAGTAAATGAAGATACTAACAGTGACGTTGAAAATGATAAAAATGATGAAGATCAAGCCGAAGTTATTAAACCATTAGATCCTAGAGCTGGACGGGTAGATGTAGAATTACCACAAATACCTTTTGATGCTCGTGCGATTGCAAACACAATCGTGCAGTATAGATTTCATCCCTCATCAACGACGAAAACCCGTAAACAAATACTTCGACTCACAAGACAGTATGTATATAGCTTATGTAAATTACTCTGTTGGTGGTACAAAATAACAAAATCAATGTTATCTATCAATGAAGTGTGCTACTTTTTTTCAAGGCAAATGTTATTCTTACATAATGAACTTTATTCTAAATACTACTGTCACTTGAAAATCTTTTTATCAACAGATTTAATGAACTCGCTGATGGAAAAATGCCATTAGGCCTTAAAAAAGTCAAACTACCACAATCACCAAAAGCTGAAATAGATCCAAATTTAGCTGCTACACGTTTAATACAATTTGAGAGAGATCTATATTCGGATACTATTAAGGGAAAACGTAAGAAGAAACGTAATGTTGAATTTTCGGAAAAGAATATGGAGGAAAATAATACAGATTCCCATGATGATAATATAGAATTAAGTAGTGAAACCGAAAGTGATGATAATTTTGATATCATTACTGAGGATATACCTAAAAAAAAGCAGAAAGTTGAAAGTACTAAGCAAAAGAGTAGAAAGTCTATTGGCCAGAATGGCGAGGAGTTTGATGTCCTCAAAACTGAAGATGTAAAACAGAAAAATCATAAACGGTTAAGTAAAAAGGAAAGACAAATGAATAAGCAAGGCATTTATACGAAGAAAAATAATGTTTTACATGTTGAACAACGGTATATTGATAAAGAATCGAAAGCAAAAAAGAATAACTGTGATATTATGCAAACAGATGGAGGATTTTCCATTGAAATTGAAGATGGTATGGATGACTTTGGCAACTTTGTAAATTCATTGACACCAGTTAAAGCAAAAAAGACGAAGAAAGAGAACTCTCCAAGCAACTGGATCATCGTTGAAACTGATGATCCACCGACGCCAACAGCACAGTTAAGATCCAATATCACCGAAGTTAACAAAAATTATATGAGCGCTACTGAATCCTCAACCATATTACCCTCTACCAGTAATACTGAAGTAAAAGAACTATTAGAGCCGTCTCCGAAGTTGCACAAACTGAGTCCCCAGAAAGTAGTGAGTTGCATTTTCGGTTCAAACTGTAAATTTCTATTCATTGAGCATTATTACATGTATTTTTTTTTACAAATGAGAAGTAGAAGTGTTGTTCAATGATTCTAGATACAGACCAATATAAATATTCAAGTAATTGTATATTTCCTTACTGAGGATTTCCTTAATAGAGATTTCGTACTTATAGAAGTTCGTTACCGAAGTCCCACTGTACAAAAAAAATGTTTGATTATAATAGATTCATTATTAATACTGTTACAGATTGAATTGAATTGGAAACCTGAAAATGGAGTATCAAGTCCCAAAAAACGAGTGAAAATAGTGCTTCAGCGAAATACAGCCCAACATACTTCTGAATATATGAAACAACTGCAACAAAGTCCAGCCATTCCTTACGATGCGAATCGCAAACCTCCAGCCGGTGTACTAAAGCCGAGTCCTTTGCCCAGTCCTGTTAATCCATTTTACAAAAGAAAGAATTGTTAAGGTAATAATTACGTTTAAACACATAAAAATGGAATTAATTATAAATTGATTGAATAAAAAGCTTGAGATCTTGTTTAAACGTACGTATATTTCGAATTTAAAAATGTCATCAATAAATCTGTATAGATTTATATCCCCTGATATAATATTTGATTTTGAACATGAATATTCATTCTTTTATTATGATACGAACAGAGTCTATAAACAATCAGTACAGCGTTCAGAATTGTTGGAGTAGTATATTATGAAATGCATGACGTATGTAAACATTTAAGACATTATTGGTAAACGACTTAACGAATTTCGAAAATAGAACATCAGGGCATTTGCTGATAGTCTAAATAATTTCAGATTTTGTTTTCTTTTTTTCATTCACAATAGTCAGATTACCTATTTGTAGCTGAAATAAGATTGCATATGCTATACAAATGATTACTTTAATTCTATCATTTAGGATCACATTGTTGTACAAGTTTAAAGTAGTTTCTATTTAGCAATGTTTAAGTGAAACTTCGGTATAAAACGGTTGGGATAAGATAGAATAAATACATATCGTTCATATGTTAATTACTAATTCTTTAAATGACTTCAGTCTTAAACACTTTAGAAACTCATGACTATCGCTGCCTCAGTGGTCCTTGTTGAAACACTGGACTTTATTTTTTCTAAATATCCGTATACAACGGTACAAAATAAATTTTGTTCATAGTTGGTTTGTACAAGGAATGAGTAAATTCACCAGAAATTAAACATTTACAGTTGTAAACAGGATAAACGATATTTTACATGTTTGACTTTATCTCGTTTGAATATGTGATGTAGATAGAAAGACAAATTCAGAATATTTCAAACATGTTGGAAATGTATGTTTATTCTGTTTGAAAATGTAACATTTCATTTGTACACATATTTCATTATGTCAGTACAAATGTGTTAATGTAGATGAATAAGATGAAGAATTATTCGTGATCTCACATTTTCTAAACAAAATGGATGAGAATACTCGATTTTTTACCTATCGATGCACATTCAGTATTAATATAACATTCATGTAATTCAATGTAAGAAATAATTTTGTTCCGCATATGGATATTTGAAATAACTACTGTTATCAACGTTTAAAACGTCTCACCATTATCATATTTCTGATAACAACATCAATGTTCACTTATCTAGTAAATTTCAATGCAATACTTAGTGGCATCAATAAACAAAGTTTACCATATAAACTTCCAAGCACAGTAGATGTGCATATATCATTTTCTAAGTAAGATATACCATATGTGACATAAGTCAAGCATATGGAATTTGTCTAACTTATGTCACCAGTTGTACAATATTATATTATTAAGTCTAAACTTATTTTCATATTACGCACTGTTCTTAATTAAATATTCTGAATAACACAGATAGTGTTTTAATTCAGAATTTTTTCTTTGGCACATGAATTCACTTCATCTTTTTCTAATGAATATGCTATTTCTACAGAAAAATAGATTTTTTCTATTATATCTATGACTTAGAAATGAAGAAGAACGTAGCTTCTTCTTTGTTCCTTATGATAACTGTCCTATTAATAATTTCCTAGTTTATACAATATCAATACATTAAAATGAATACATTAAAAATATTATATCTACATTCACTTACAAGAATGCCCATTTGAATATAAGTATTTTGTAATGTACTGTATGGATCTTGTACAGGATGTTTCAAGAATGAATTTCAAATTGTATCATGGAAGATACTAATATTATTAAAAAAATACTAGTAAAGACTCTCATGGGACTATGTCTGACAGCTATTGGGCACAGTGAGTATGGGAGATATGCTGGAATCAGTATAAAGTTCTAGAAGAGGTTAATGTGCTATACATTTTGTTTCAGACACAATACACAGAATACAGTATCCCATCAGTGCAAGTGAAGAACTACTATTAAAAAGGTTTATCGTTATGGAACTATTGTTGCCTTCATAGTTACACCTATAAAGCCATTCGTTTAACCTTGAATACAATTTTAGCTGTTTCTGCACATAGATTATTGAAATTAATCAAGAGCATCTGATCGGCACGTAATATCTTACCTTTTTTTAATTTTATGACATAATTTGTAGCATATAATAAATCAAAGAATACAGAATAATATCATGAGTGCAGTAATTTTATGCTCTTGGAAACATATTTCAAAAATCAAGATAAATATCAAAGATACATTATTACTATTAAATAGTTTCGATTTTTAACTCCTTTATAGTTGCTCTTACGATTCATATGTATTTACATATGATTATTGAGAAACTCAATGGTTTATAAACTAATTAAATTCATCTCGTTATTTTTGAAAAATTTTCTTTTTACGAAAATTAATTCAATAATTTAAACCACGATTATATCATGCATAAAAATATATTAATTACACTATACTTCATATTTATCGATCATTGTAATCAGTCCTAGCAACAAATCACTAAGTTTGCTGTTACTCGAAATTCTTTAGATTTTTAATACGTTGCAATGTCATGGAAGTATACAGAGAAATACTCCAATTACAATTATAGTCGAAGCACTTTGTCAGCATATAATGCCATTTTACTTTATAAATGATTAAATATATTGTAGTTACTTCTATATAAAAAATTTGAGTCCTCTCAATTTGCGTCAAATAACTTGTTTATATTGGGAAATCATGCCAAGAATAAAATTCTAATTTCAATATTAATTTTTTCCACCGGCTCGATGTTAAAGACAATTAAGAAAACGTAATGGCTGCAAGTAATGGATAAAATCCATTTTTGTGAATTACAAAATATTTATATACATCCATATCACAGTGATGTACATAGAATAAGTTCTAAAATATTAGCGAAGTTTAGTTCTGAGAGAATAACTTCTCCAGCGCCAATACCATCCCATTTCGAGTTGGTTGAATCCCGTACTTAGTAAGGATAGACCAATAAATAAAATCGAATGAACCAATGCCCATAATTGAAAGATCGGTGATATAAGAAGTAATAACACAGTGGCTCCTGTGAAATAATGATACAACATGTAAAATTTCAATTCAATCTTACTTATTAACCCTTTGGCGACTTGCTCGTTCCTACTGTAATACGAATAACCAATAGTACAGTAAATACCATACAGGTACTAGGCCATGCCATGTTAATCGTATTTTTTCTAGGAACTCTTACTCGTAATCAAGAGAAATCAAAACGTACACTCTTTGCAGTATGGTTACATTGCGATATTTAAGTGGATGCTTAATATTTATAACTTGTAATTAATACAGTCTCCATAGGGTTAATCATGTATAATTTATACTGCAAGTATGATTTCTTTTTTCAAGATATATTTGATGGTATTTGCAATATCATCATCACGAGACATTATAGAGTTTCACGAAAATTTATTATCATATTCTATATTATTTAATATTTATTTTAAAAAGAGAATGCTTCGTTTTTTCCCGTTTGTCTCTTATGCGTGCAAACAATGTATGAAAAATAAAATTTTAATTGAAAATAATAAATATCTAATTCGAATATTTTGTAATTAATTACCTGTCAAGAAACTCCAGAAACCAAATGCAGCTCTTAATGGCAGCATTGATGCCATTGGCCAGTTGCCTTCGGAAAATGCTTTTTTCTTAGTAAAAGACTTCAGTGTTTCCTCCTTGTACGACCATCGTTTCTCTAACCAACTTCTCAGCAACATATCGTCTTTCGGTACGTCCATGGATGAAATTCGTTTTATATGAAAATATACCTCTTTCGGTAGCTTTCCTGTGATCAAATCAATTTCTGACTGCGGTACATAGTCAGGGTATGCTATTGTCAAATCGTAAACGGCATCGAGGTAATTAGCATGTTGAAGATGCTGAACCAAGTAACTAAATCCAGTTGTCTTAGGGTGAAGCGTATAAGAATATTTTGGCAATCCATTTTGTAAAGCATACTTATCCGACTTTTCTTTGCTAGTCGGAGTTAAGTCTGTACCTTCTGGAAATATCAGTAACTGAGTACGTCTACGTATGGCTACTAAATAGTCCAAAGTACGCGATAGACGTCCTTGATCCTCTTCCCAGCGTCGAGTTATGTAAAGGAAGCCATTCATTTGCATCATCCATCCTGTTAAGGGTAACTTATTAGAACTTATTGTTATTGCCATGATAGATTGAAATTCAATTTAATTTAACAGATGTTAATTTCTCATAGTTAATGTTTTGAAATTAATGTATAAGACACGTGTTTCAATTTGTGCAGCACATATCTATAATAAGAAGAAATAGCACTAAAATTATAGAAATGGTAGGTTGTATTTTTTTTTATAATATTACCTGGCCCGGGGATGTGACGAATGGGATCCTTCAGGATAAATTTTAATTTATGAGCTGCAATATTCGGCATGCATGCTTGGTACATCGCGGCCCATAAGAAATTCCAATCGACTCTCGTACGATGATTCATTACGAGGATTGCTGATTCATATGGTGATATATGATCTCCCGAGACTATAATTTTAACACCAAACACTTCTAGGAGTGCCTACAATAATTGAACGAATGACATTTTATAAAATTTTCTTTTAATAAGAAAAAAAATCTTTTTAACTTTTTTATTAGTGGGGTACAAACAGGTATATTATAAAAACTGATATATTTCGGGATTCATAATGTAAAAGCTTTTGTTAATTTTAAAGTGATCTTACAACTCGATCCATTCTATAAGAGTTACCTACCGTAGGATAAAGTTCCCAGCATGAAAATAACAAGTCTCCGCATTTTCGAAACCTCGGCGGACTTAGTAATAAGAGAGGTAAGAGTGGGCAAGCAATGAAGAGAAATCCTGCTACTATACTGCCATACCATAAAGCGCAGTATAGTACCCCACGTAACAGATCACGCATCACAATGCTCGTGGATATGCTTGAAAATATTTTTTTAAAATGCATCAATTACATGGCAAAGATATTTCGTAAGCAGCTTTTTACAATAATTCTCATTAATTGTTTAATGAATCTCTTTAGATTTTCTAGAAGCTAATAAAGTATTAAAATCGTAGACTTTTATAAATTGATAAATTATATGATGTCGATCTTAGAGTGCTTAGCAAAGTTAATATATCATTTGAATCGTGTATATCTTCCGTATTGTGATATAAAAAAAACGCATATGAAAATATATTTCTGTAAATATTGACGCAGATAATTTTTATTTTATATTTAGTTTATGTATTTAATATTTATCCTACTTTTTTGACAATCTGTGTACTACAGGATTATCCAATTAGATTGTTTCCATTTTTAAATTTCTTACTGCATTTCATTATTCTTTGTGACAACCATCTTTCATTCTTTCATATCAATAATTACAAATCAGTCCATCAAAGTTGATGTGTTTTAGTGAACTATAAGATTTACTTTTACTGATAAATACTTTACCTGATTCCTGCGATTGAATTCTAAATATTAGAAGTGTTTGAAACAAATTTTTTCAGTCACTGAGCCATTAATATATACATATTTACACAAATGTGGTACTAATTCCACTGCACAATGATTAGAGCTGATTGAAACTGGTCTATTTTACATTGGTAGCACTTTTCACAAACAGTGGAAGTTGACAACTAGCTCATAAGGTGAAGTCTTGTTCTGGCTTCCCTCTAGATTTACCAAAGGGGCTTCCCTAAGTACACACCCCTGCCTCGTTCGCTCCATTCTCACCCTCACCCTCACCCTCATCTATTCCAACATTATACTAGTGGCTTCTGGGATGCTGTGTTGGACCATTATTGATCTGTGCCACACACGGAAACGTGCATACTTTTCCAATATAATGAAGACCTCAACGGATATTGCAGTTCTAGAATATGTATATTTCAATAAAAGCTATGTAAATACTATTACGTAAAAATATATTATATATTAATGCAAATGGACAGTACTCTTGAATATCTAATAACGTAATACACATTCCCAATTGGTATGTGTACTCATTTATTGACATGGAATAATTTTTCTACAAACATTAAGAGGCATAACATGTATATTAAACTTGTAATCTATCTCCCAAGTCTCTCTCTTCGAAATTATTCTTTTACTTTGAAAAAATTACATAATTATTTTTACATAATAAATAAACTGCAATGAAACCTACCAAAGAGTATGCGGTATATATAGCAGATTGATTTTAATAAACAAATTAAAGCATGCTTTGATTTCAAGTGATATATAAAATAAGCTATGATAAATTGTTAGGCAACATATTTTGGTCTAATAGTTAAAAGAGGGATACTACGAAATTCCAAGTAATAAAAGTATACAATCGATTATAGTCCCAATATCATCAGTGTATATTACGTTAGATTATACAAAATTCGTCAAATACTATAAAATAATGCAGTTATCATGCACCACTTGCACAACGCGATAATACGCCTGTAAAGGTCAAGAAATGTAAAAGGTGAAAAATCATCGTTATTAACGATATTTTGAATATTGCGTCATAAGTAAATCGGCTTCGTCTTGTTTTCGTCGATCTTCCTCGTCGGTAGCAGGAAGTTCAAGAACTTTAGTCAGCCATGGGAATGCGTCTTGGTATCGGTTCAATTTTATATACGTCTTGGCAAGAAACAGCCTGTTATCCATATTTGGTTCTGTTCCCAACTTTTCAGATTGTTCAAAATCGGACAATGCATCTTCGTATGTAGCACTAGGTGGGTCAGAAAACAATGTCGCTGCGATCTGTGTAGAGTGCAATAAGTTTTACATCTATCCAGTTTATAACCAATAATTATTTAAATTGACACATGTGTCAATTATGAAATAGCACATAATAAATCTTTCGTACCTTTCTTTCCACCCAACTCAAAGCAGACACTTCATATTTAAATCTACCAAGCAAGTAATAGAGTACTGGGTCCTCTGGACTAAGTTCCAAAGCTTTTGTAACATATTCTTTAAAACGATGACCATTTGCAATTTTTTGTTTGACAGGTAAAAAATCACCATGTAGGCCTACAAGGATTGCATACCACTTGTATAAATTTGCATTAGGCGTGGAAATAATTTTTTCACACACCTTAAGACCTGTGGTAATATGATGTATCAAATTTTAAATACCATACAACGATAAAGAATAGTTACTAAGAAAAGTTACTAAGTAAGAATAGTTTTTTATATTTGTGTTATTTTAACAGTGCATAATATTCATAATAAATTGCAACTGAATGATTATGAAATACCATGGGCTTACCTTCGAGAATATAAGTTTTTTTAGTATCCATATCAGTAGTATTACTAGAACAATTATAACAAGCTTTGGTCAGCCTCCAGATAACTTCTACGTTGTTTGGGTGAAGATTTGCTAAGTTTTGCAGTACAGTATGAACATCTTTTGGAGGTGCTTTCATCTCCATTTGCTTGTCCAATGAAGCAAGCATTGAATCCACTTCGTTTACTCCTTCTGAGGTCCTGCATTACTAAACATATACTTTCATCCTTTAACGTTTAACGATTTATGTTGGAGAAAAATATAACAAAATCAAACGGATTATGATAAATAATTAAAAGATACTATTCTTGTACATCTGTTGGATAGAAGTTTGCATATTATAAAGGCTTATTCCAATGTTGAATTATTTTATATGTCATATAACATTTAAAACATAGTCTGTCAGCATAAAAGTAACAGATTTACAAACCCATTGTCATTATCTCCTGCGCCTATTTCGCTGTCAGAGAAGTCATAGAACTCATCGTCATCAAAATCTGTTCCTGCTGTAGAGAAGGCATCAACATCAGTATCATTATCAGTAGCTGTATATGTGCTACCATTAGCTGGGAATCGTTTTTGTAATACTGCCCTTTTTTTCCTATTCCGTTGCTGATTTTGTTGTAACCTGATATATAATAAATTGAATCATAATACCTCTCTGCTAAGTTAATATATAAAAACCAAAGAGCAAACGAAATAGTAACACAGATAGCAATATGTATCATATTGTAGAAGTGAAAAATCAAATATGGTAGTGTTTCATAACAAATTATTTCTTTAATTAATTATCCAAGATTGTTGCATTTCAACCAAGAAAGGAAATGGACATATTTGTATTACTTACCTTAGGGACTCTAATTCTGCTTGAAGCTCTAAAATCCTTTGATTCATATTGTCTAAATTACTTCGCATCATCATACTCTGTCTTTTCTCTAAAACTTTTTGATAGATAAATAAACCTGCAGCACCTATTACACCCATGGCTGCGCCAATGGCTGCTGCTATTATTACAGTATTTTGTGCTTCACTCATGTTTTTACGAGGCTACAAAAAACCAAATATACTTACATCTTCAGGAAATTGAGCATGTAAATTACACCATAATTAATATATAACACAAGCAATTATTATATCAGAACATTATATAATGCACAATACAATTCTATATATAATAAAATATATTCTATTCTCTTTCTAATAAGGGTTCTTGTAATGAAACTAATATTTACAATGAAAGACTACAATTTATTTTATTTATGAACTACTACTATTAAGTTCAACAAGAAATAAAATTATATACATTACTTTTTCTTTTGCTGCACTTAAAAACACTTAGAACGTCAATACTACGAGTAACGGTTATTCAAATAAAGCGAACAGAGCACATAAAATTTTCTGATTTCAAGATGGACTTTAAAAGGGGCCTATTATACACTTTGCACTAGAGTTACTCACAAGAAACCTTTTGGACTTGAAGTAAAAATAAATGATAACTAAAACAGATATGCAAATCGTGTTAAATCAAGGAAATGCCAAAACCAGATATCTATGCCGAGCATCATAAAATTTCGGTGAACTTTAGACTTAATGCTCTAGCTCGTGGAACGATTATAAAATTATTCAAGATGATACGGATTATGATAAGGAAAAAGTTAACTCAAATACCTGAATAAAATATGCGGCTCAAGTTAATAAGATTTTTAAAACGTCGAAAATCCGATTGTCGGCGACAGACTGATAGGTCTCTCACACCTTTCTTGGCCGTACATTTACGTTAGTATTTGCCCTCGTTTCTAACATTAATCATCTTTGCCATGAACACTAATCGCTTAGAAAATGTTAGTCCCGTTGGAACACTACACCTGTACAATACCAAATACGAACTTAGTTGTATAAAAGCTAAAACCACATGTTGCCGAAGACCACAGGGCAAACAAATTTTCTCTCAATCCTAACCTTCGTTCCTACTGCTTCATACGAGTCAATTGTTTTTCGGGCGCTGTATATTAACCTCCATTAGAGTCCCTCTAGTAAGAGTCCGGCCAAAACCCGGAAGGGACGCCATATTAAGGGCTTGTTTGGCGCCACCATGCATTGCGCGAGACTCGGTCGAGTCTCGCGCCAAATACAGGTAACCCGCCGTACAGGGCTTAACGCTACCCACACTACACAATGCGAATCTCTCCCATATACGTATTCAGACACGCCATTCTATTCCGGAAAGAGCCCATAATATGGCGGAGCCTATCACTAACGAGCCCCACTGTTGGCCGGACTCTTACTAGAGGGACTCTAACCTCCATGATGTTAACGTAGATAGCACATCCTTTAAATATTTGATTCACTCCGATCAGTAGGTTTATAAAAATATTTTTTTCCTTATATTTGAGTGACATTTCTCATTTAGAGTTTCTTTCGTAGACTATATTTAATTTTTGTTTTCAAACAAATATCAATAAATTCAAACATTTCTTTGTCAACAAGTAAAATCAAAGTTTATAAAAAAGTAAATAGCAGACTTGATTCCTTCGTTTTGTGTGCTTACTGTTTGAAATCCTTAATAGTTGTATTACTATTACAAGGAGTTCATACGTTTTTATCTAATTTTTTAAGCAAATCATTATAACAATAAATGAGAAATTCAATTATATTCATCGAATTTTTCCAACTTATTATATTTTGAGCGACTTTCTTAAAATAATCTTCAAGTGGTACTGGTGTTACATGCTACTATACTTATTGCTAATTTAAGCTTATTAGTCAAAATACATTATAAATATATGTATTTATCAAAGCCACGATAATTAGCAATATAATCTGTTATATAATGCTTGGTCTTTAGGAAAATTGGTAATGACTGGTAATGAGAGTTCTAAAGTTTCATGATACGATAATCTAGTATACATCAAGTTAATCGGCGGGGTTCCCCAGATATTCTTTCTTCCTTTCAAGGCCATTCTGCATATAATCGACGTTGTCAGCAGACTTGTCGTCGCGTCGTTTCTACAAGCCAATTGGAAAAGCGATAAAGCGGAAAAAGTAATTCTGATTGGCTTGTAGAAATGATTTACAGGAATGATTTACACTTGTTAAAACTTGTTCCTGACGAAGAATTCAGCCAATGAGAGTTCTGATATTTTAGTCGAACAACTCGCAAGACTGACAGCTGAGAATCTCGAATCACTGAGAACCACTTTGAATCTCGAACTCGACATATCGATTTGCGACCATCTTCGATAAACATCCGAACGATAGGTCGAAACTGTATTGTCAGACGTAATATAAAAGGATTTTTATAAACGCTAAGCGAAGTTGTCTCCATCGGTGGGATTACCGGGTTTGGCGCCGATGTCGATCGAACACGCCCAGATGTTTAATGTAACTTGCTCGGCAGAAGTTGACGGAAGAGGCTCGGCAGAAACTGTTGGAGTAAGTTGAGCAACAGTTGACCGGAGTAGGGATCTGAAAGATAGTAATGACAGATCACTGTTGAAGGGATCATTAGAATTATCCGCTGCGATACTGCAAGCGCTCGGGAAGTCAATGCGCTGAGTAACATCGCTGTGCTGACTGGTACCTTCGTCCATAATTTGCTGCAAGGGCAGTCGATATGTGCTTTTAGTCCTGCAAATAAAAATCAGTAAAATTACTATAGCCCAATACTTAATATGGAATAATTTAATTAGACGTACCGCTTATGAGTAATACGTGGTACCAGGAAGACCATACTCTGGTATAGCTTCCACTCTTCGACGGGAACTCGAGCCGAACCCGATGGCGCATACTCCATCCTCTTTCTGTGCTCGTGGCGGAAAGTGTCGCGTAGCGTGGTCCATCGTTTCTCTATATGTGAAATGTAAATTATATTCAAATGTGTATACCTGGTATGACTACCTACCTGACAATTGAATGTTGCATAGTCTTCCGATTTCGGAAGAAATCTCGTACCACTTGTTCTTCTTATTAGAAACATTTTTAAAATCACGATGACTTTTATCGTAGAGAAATTTAATTTCTCTAACGATATTGATAATGACTTCGTCTATAGAGTTAATAATGACAGGTGACTGGTAATGACATTTCGCGCATGGAAATATTGGCAGGGCAATTTTTTTTTTCACAAACTCGTTACGGTCCACGGAACGGGGCATGCTCGATGCTACTCATCACGTTCCGTCCTCCGTAAAATAATGAACATCATTGACCGTATACTTTTTGAGATATTACTGTTAAAGGAAACTTAGACGGCGGCTGTTTTTCTCTCTCTCGCGTGTTCTTTTTCCCATCCGTAAACGCTAGGGAAAAAATGACGGTGCAGATTTGAGCGTTCAGTAAGCATTATGATTTATTTATCAGATTAATTATTATTTGCTAGTATTAAACTCATCTTTTTAATATATTTTTCTATTTGTTTTATGAAATTTAACAAATTATATATCGCTAATGATTTGGCTTCAACCAAACTCTACCATACTACCTTAAGGAGCCAGGAAATCCAGTAGGACTGCGGATGCTACAAGAGGATTTTTACTGGCGCACAAAGCCTTTCTCCCAAGCTCCATTCCTGACTTTGGTACCCTTAAATAGTTGGTTTCGTCTGAATTTTTCCTTACTACAGAGAAGCAACGCAGAGAAAATTCTTGATTTTTTGCATAAGAACTCCTAAATAGATAAAATATAATACAGATGGCGTACTTTGGCAACTTATACCTTTTATGTTTCTACATATTAAAACATAAGGGGGATAACTTCCTACATCCGTGAAATAATTATTTCGCAGAGACTAATGTACCAAGGTGCTACTGCATGGTTCAGGAGGTCGTACCTAACGACAAACCTGTCTGCCTCGTTATTGAAAGAATTCAACATTTGTATATCCAGTCATAACAATTATAGTTTTAAAAGAGAGAATTTCGACATATTATGTCTTTTTATGTAAAATACTAATATTTTCTTAACATGTTTCGTAAAGCTCACTGTAAATTCAAAAGCAACATTTCTGTACAATAATTACACTCATTCAATTTAGATAAAAAGTAAATAATTCGGGAGGGGGAGGTTTACATTTTTTACATTTCATTGAATTCATGAAAATGAATACAGAATTTTGAAATTATAATTTATTTTGTAAATGCATTGAGTGTCTTAGTAATAACAATAAAAATGGTTTCCAAAATTTATGTTACGAAGCTGTACAATGGTCATCTATGACAGTTTCTCATACATGTATACATATATGTATGATATACGCGTACAAAGATGTACATAGAAATAATATCTTTTAAGAGTTATATGTCAACTACATTAATTCTATGTTTTTATATATCAATTACGTATCATATTAACAAATGCAATAGACGTGTTTTCTGAATACTTGCTTTATGCAAGACATTGTTGCTACACCACTTTTAGATACGATGTTTAATTTTATGATTTTTGAAAATTAAAAAATTAACATTTAAAGATACATGGAAGCTTAAGTGTGCGATATTGTTTATACACAAAGCATCAGCGTGCACCCTGCAGACTGTCCATCAGGATCACATACACACGTGTTACATTCACTGGAAAATTGTTCTCCTGGAGTACAGGATGTTCCTTGAATGTAGGCAGCTGGAACAAAATGAAAATTCTATTAAGTTTAATAGGTAAATTTCCAAAAAATTTAAATTCATAAAAAATTATTTTACTGTGATATATTTAATAATTTTACTATATTTTCAATTATGCTTATTTATTCAACACTGTTATGTAAATGATTTATTTTTACTTTTTATCGAAAATAAATTGCATTTACTTACGTCCCCAAGATTTTGTGGATCGTACGTGTGTTTCAACTTCAGGGGTAATTTCTCTCTTCTTAAGGCACAACCTTCTAGTACAAGCGGCTGCGCTTCCGTCAGCTGCACACGTGCATTTGTTGCAGTCGACATTGAAACTGCTGCCTGGTGTGCATACTTGCTTATCCCTTTTATTTCTAAGCAGTGGGTTGTGCGCGACGTCGCCGGGCTTCTTCAACGTTCCGTCCTCGTTGAAATATTTCGTTGTAGAACACTTCATTGTTGTGCATGAGAATTTAGTTCCATCAGCCGAGCAAATACACGTGTTGCAATCCAATGTGGACTGACTTCCTGGTTGACAAATGATTTCATTCCCTGAAGGCGCACCTGAAACGAATAATGAATATATTTTTATTAAGTTATTAATTGCTATATATGACGTTTACTGAGGTTGATTATAATTTTTAATTTTATAAATGTCTATTTAGAGATGCAACAGTTAGAAAACAATGTTCTATAGTTAGTCCATGAATTTCATATGTTTTCTTGACAGGTCGAAAGAATCAACGCTACACAGTTTATTATATAATCATTAAAATATATGGGGATAAATATAACATATTTATTTACAAAATTATGTACCTATATACTTTCTGGTACTTTCTAATACTAATTTTATAAGTTAACTTTACTAAAATTATATTCGTTTTAGGACCTATTGCTTCAGGCAAGATTGGTAGAGAAAAATGAATCCCTATTGTGGTAATAAATGAGCCAGCAATTAAGATCGCATATAGTACAAATGGAGAAGGTGACCGCAAGGTATAGTCAGAAGCTCTTATGTCGTGGATCTTGACGTGTTATGCCGAAAAGACGTCTTTACACGTGACGCGTCTATGAGACGTCAAAACTCATAGCAAACGACTTTTTGAAGACATTTTGTTCACATCTTTGTAATTATAATATCTGGGATCCAATAGAATTTTGGTCTTGATTTAACTTTTGTTATGCAGTTAATATAGGCCAAGGCAATAATAATACAATTTTTTGAAACCTTTTGATTACGATAATTTTTTTTCTTCACGTCTTCGACCTCTGGAATCATTAGCTGAACGATAATACTTATTATATGACGCAAAATATAACCAGCTATCTCATTATAGAAAAACAAAGGGCATGTCAAAAGATACTTAGCAAGCCATGGCGTAAAACTGATTTTAATATTAATGTATCCAATGTTTAATAATAAAACTGTCTTGTATAATATACACTGAAATAAATCTATTGAATTTTCATTATTTTTAGAAAATATATTTATATAAGTAATTTTAATACTTTAATTCATAAATTTGCCACTACACTTACCGTAGACGCACGCGAACGCAAGAGTAATGAAAAATAAAGTATTCATTTTATCGATATGTTGCGCACTTGATACAAATCTCACAAGAGTTTCTTTTTCAATCTGAAGTTCAGTCTCTCGTTACGCCTAATAAATACTCTTGATGAGTGTTGGCGGGACGGAGGATACACCAATGACAAACGACCTCAGGAAATTACGATTTAGCAATCACGTCTCGTCTCGAACCACTTCATATTCGGAAGTAATGGTGACGCGATAAGATGATACGCTGTTTAATATTATTTTAGCAAAAGATCGTGACCCATTAGCCAGAATTTTTATGAAAACATCTTTTTGAAGGTATTTCATTATTCATAGGTATTTTTGAAATTACTCAGTTCCTCTGCGCATTTGAGTGCAATTAATTTTGCAAATTCGTGTAGTAACAGATAAATGAATGAAAGATTAGAAATATTTTTAAAATATTGTAAATAATTGTTACTGATATAATTATTGTTCAGATGATTCTTCTATTAGTTCATATTCGAAATAACAAAATTATAGGCAAAGAACTGAAAGGTCAGCATTTTTATTAATTGGAAAGGAAATAATTAATAAATCAAGTAATTAACTTTCTACTGTTTTTTTTTAATTTTTTATATACATTGTCAGTAATCTTAAGCTAATTTTCCATGATTTTTGAGTTGAATTGCACAAGAGTATTCTTTGTACTGTACGAGAAATTAATTATTCATACTCATTAGCGTAGTTGATGGAAGGCAAATATCCTAAGAAGTGAAAAATGACGGGGTAGCGAAATAATATATAATAAATGCGTATTTACATGAGTGACTGAAAGAGTAGAAGTCAAAGTACTGCAAATTTTGAAATCTGCGAATTATCTGTATTTAGTACGTCCATAGTCAAACGTAATTTGAATTTGGTTAAATAATCTGATGTCATTACAATGTTTACGTAGTTATATACTATGTAAAATATAAGGAGTTCCCCAACAAATAATGCATCTCTCGTACGTGTATAGTATATGTTGAAATTGACGCGTGTAAGATAATACCATTGAGGAAGGTCAATAAGACACTTTCGTCTAGTGCGTAGTCTTATAGGGGAATCCCTTTCGAATTGTTGTCGCATTTCAAAGAATCCACGCATACGTTTAACTCCTGTTATGAGATTATCATGTATTTGGGAGTCATAAATATCATAAAGATATTTGTGTGTGTTAAGGGGGAATATACACCTGGCAGGGTCCAAAAAATTGATTTTTAAATTTTTACATTTTCTTCAAGTTTTATATGTTAAAAATGTCTGGTGAAAAATGTAAGTAAAAATTTCGAAAAATGCCAAAGTTATAGCCCAAATAGTACATGCGTTCGTTGGACCGGCGCCGCGCCGCGTCGTGTCATACAGGTAGTACGGCGCTGTCCATTCGGTCTTATTGTGCCCATTGTTTTTTTTTGTATATCAGTATTTTATTAGTCCTGCATAGCCTGTCTGGGTTGAATATTTTAAACATAACGGTTATCCTGACAGAAACTTAGCGTGCTTTGTGAGTAGTTTTCCGTCCGTCTAATTGTGCTATAGAGCAAGTATCGAAGCCTTCGTTTCTGAATAAAAGTATTCAGGTGTAAAGGTGGAAAGGAGTAAAGGTTCTCGAGAAAGTCACAAATCGAGTAAATTGCGGAAAGATCGCAAAAAGAAAGAAAAGCCTAAAAATCGATACGACGCAGAAAGAACGGAATCGAATGTTAGTGCCAGTGCCACAAAATTGAAGACTGCACGAGATGTTCCAGTGCCAGAAAACCCAGGTAGACGATATGGGCGTACTTTCCACTTCGGAGAACCTATATTATGGACCTGGTATCGATGAATCTGTGTAAGTTGAACAAATTTCATGATTTATCCATCGACAAGTTTTCAAACGCGTTTTTCTCAAAACTATATTTTTCAAATCGGTAACCAAAATATCTCGAAAACCACTGAACCGATTAACTTAAAATTTGTTGTGGTTATTTTATACATAATTATCTAGTCTTTGTCATAGGATTTTTTTTCCGATTCTTAGTTTTCTTTTTTTTTTGGCAAAATACGAGCGAATTTTTGCATGAAAATGGCTACATTGAGTTCAAGCGTCCGCCTTTTTGTCAAAAATCGATATTTTTAAAATCAGCTATGACAAAGACAGGATATTAGTATCTATTTTAATATTCTCTTTGTTTTTTTGTTTTAGATGATTTTTGACGATACGCCAGTGGGTACTGAAATGGCCTATTTTTTTACGGCACTCCGTAGATGACATCACTACTCCGTCAATTTTCAACATTTTTAAATAAAAAAAAAATTAAAAACATTCTTGAAAGTATATATTTTTAACTAGAAAAAAACCCCAACCCGATAGTTCCAATAGTTTCCCTGAAAAAAATTCTCGAAAATTACCTTTTTTTCCGTTTCCAGGTGTATATTCCCCCTTACTTATTTTTACGTAGAAAAACGTATTGGCTTACTTTCTTTACTTTTCAATACAAAATATTTCTAGTATTAATATTAAGACAGGAATTACAAATTTATATTGTTATTCAGTAAATTATTGTTAATCGGTACAAACGTGCCATTTGAAGGTGGTTCAACTATACAAATCAAATAGTTAACTTCAGATGGTACATTTATTGAAATAAATGATTTAGAATTTTGTGCACTAAAATTCTCTAATACTGTAATTCATATAACGTTAAGTAGAATAATTAGGACAGTTACAAGCAAGTTAACTAAAATTTAAATAAAAATATTTGAATAATTAGTGCAAAAATATACTGCAGCCGACCGATATATTAAGTAATACTTGTTTATTTAACATTTCGATATGTGTTCAAAGTCGTTCGGATTACCACAATCTGGAAAAAGATTATTTTTTATCTTTTATTTTTTATAATTCCTCATTTACGTTCTGTAAAATTATATCAAGTATTTCACGCGTTACCTTTGACCCAATAATTGATAATACAACAAATATTTAATCAAATCAATAGTTCGATGTCCATTTTCAATTCAAAGAATCCATAGTTCTTTATATGTATGGATATGAAAAATTTCACTGGAAGCGAACGTTCTTAGCATACAAATATACCTCCAGTGTTCAGATAGATTTTAACATTCAATAAGATAAAATATTATTTTTTTTAAATAATATCTTTTGTATATACAGTTTTGTTTCCATAGACCTAAAAATCAATGATTTATATGAAATATTGAAAAATATCTAGCACATATAAATATGAAATTCAAAGTATCTTAAATCGAATTTCAATCGCCACAGAGTCGGTTAATTAAATCTTTACCGCCTTTATAGAGTTTTGATCAGCGTATTGTTAAATATCTGTTGGAAGAAGGTAAATATAATCAAAATTGCCTCTCGCGTGACCCTTACTCTATACATGTTTGCAGTCATCTTGTGTCTCCCAAAATTTGCAAAGCGTCTCATGCCGTCGCTGCTAATTCAGTTCTGCCCTGCTTTTACTTAACTCTGCAGCAGTTGCTAACCTGGGTAAGTCTTTTTGGAACAAAATACCTCAGTCGAAATGTTAACGCTAATAGTAGACCAGCTGTTATACCATCGGCACGATTAAAAATTTTGCGTCGTTTCTCAAGCAGCCAGCAGCAGATCAGATATTCTTTTCTCGTTTCTGGCCTGCTCGGGGCTTCAAGTCGAGTTAGCGGCTCTAGGCCTAAGTAAGGCCTGATATCCTTGTAATCAGCTGTAAAATATCGACTAGGAAAATTTATTTTGCAATGGAAATCATGACATTTGTAAACGTGTTAAGCATTTTATCATTTATACGAAGTAACTGCTTTTCTGATGGTTTTATTTTCAACGCCAAATGACCCTGTGCCCGAATAATACACATGCTATATGTGCACGATAAGATAAGAATGTATATAACCAGCAATTTGAAAATTTGAAAAATTCTATTACTGATTTAAACATAGGATTTGCTTGTTTTTGTTTAAATTTCAAATTTAATGTCCTCTCTATAAATGTACGTAATTTACAAATTTTCTGAATTTTCAGCTTAAAAGTTAGCCATGTATTTTACTTAAAACTATTTATCATTATCTGCGTAACGTTTAATACCTTCATGGAATTTTACGAAAAAATTCTATACAAATTTCAATCTAAAATACAATAATACTTTTCGATTCCGCAAAATTACAAATACATCTTCCATATACAAGGTGTTTCAAAAGTCGCCGTCGCTACTAGCATGATCCATTAAAAAAAAAAATAAAGAAATACGCGTTTCAGCATTCCTTATTCTTCAAATCAAAAATAGAAAGCAAATAATGTTAAGGTTCGCAAATATTAGCGTGTAAGCGAACGGCCGGCGACAATGCCCTATTTACGCTGTAACTTACTTATTCTGTGTTTACACGATAAGTACAATCTTTTACATTACTTATCATAGGATTTTCCCCCAAACGATTAAAAAAGCTAAGACACGTATTTTATCTTATTTTGTACGGAATTTCCAACCGTCCTATGAACATCCGTCATGTATGACATGCTATACGTAGAACGCTACGAAAGTCATGAGAAATTAAATATATGTACAGCAAAGTAATACGGAGTGGCAGGAATTCTGAAAACTTTTGTAGTGACCTACGTATAATAGGTCATACGAGATCATAATGTATATAACCTGCGTATATGCATAGTGCATACATAACAGTGTATACATAATGTACATACCTAACACACATGTTTGACATATTTATATACCTTTTACATAGCCGCTATATAATAACAAATAATTTGGGCGTGTGAAATCTAATTGTCACAAGATGTTTATTTAATAGCCTAAAGATGCGGAATAAAACTTTATATATTTAAATTTTGTTTCGTTGTTCTATTGAAATATTCGTCTACAATATTAATGTAATCCGCATAATTGACTGACACATGTCACGTACAATAATTTTTTCTATAAATTCTCCTTATCATTAACCCCAACCATTTTATTCAGTGATAATAATCAATTCCCGAGAATCTGGGGTTTGACATTATATTTGTTCATATGGCTCGTTTTTATTAAAACTACGTATCCTGAAATTACTCCACAATTATTATTGATTCCAATAAAATTTCAATTAGAGCCAATAAATAATTTTCTAAAATAAACTGATACGTCTATTTAGTAGTGCCATTCGTTATCACACATTATGTTTATAATGACTAATATGTTTGGCAATGGCTGTTATTGTAAGTCGATATAAAAAGTACTGTGTTCTTTGATAATACACATTGATGTATACCATATCTATACAATGTGTCGGGTGACCTTAGACATTATGGTAAGCTTTTATGTAAAAAGATTGTCAAAGTCTTATCTGAATAAAATGGAAATGTTAAGTTGTTATACAACTTACGTTATTTGGACTAAAAAATGGATCGCAGATTCACATATATGCATGTTTCACATTATGCATAAATCGATGAAATAACATAACCATAATGAATATAATGCATAAAAACCATCTGCAGTTTGTTTACTCAAGTTTGCGAAACAAAGGTTATATACAAGGGATGTACACAATTTTTGATTCCTTTTACTTTTACTCTATGGTATTCCATTACAGCAACTCATTCGTTATAATTTTTATTATATACAATAGGGGAGTTAAAAGTAACTTAAATGGGAAAAGTAATCGACATGCTTTTTGATACTTTTAGTTGGAGTACCAAGTATACTTTACCTCTTAATGTACGTATACTTTTGCAAGCTGCACTATTACAGGTTTATAGGGAGAAATTGAAAGTTTAAGGTATGAGATGCAAGTAATTTTTAAACGTATAATATGTGTGTGCAAATTGTAAAACTTACACAAATAGGTGTACATTTATTTTGATAAGAAAATTTCATTTATTCCGGGTTACTTATGATTTTCATGATAAAAAATTCAAGAGAGACTCTTTAAAGTCTTTAGGCCCCTGAAGTAACTCGCTTTATGTAATTATGTTAAATGTTAAAAAATATAGTAGAACAAAATTTGTCACATAGAAATTGTAGCTTTTTACTTCAATAGGAAAACTGAGAAATCGATTTGTATTTTTGTTATAACCAGATTCATTTTTCCAACCGGAATGTCTCGACTGGATTCAGCCGACGATGATACGGGTCTTCAAACTCCAGTTCCGTTGCGCAGAGAGTCTGGATATAGCAGAACGTCGGGTAAGCAGAAGAATTTCATTGAAAAATAATAAAAATAATTTATTCTTTTATACACAGTAACCCCATCATCAGCCGGCAGTTCAGTACCTTTTGGTTCTATTACCGATGAAGTTTTGCAAATATGGAGTCAACTGCCGGAAACTGTACGGCTAGATCCAAGTTTAGCTGGTTTTCAAAGAGAATACGAAAGGATTACCCAAACACCAGGAAGAAGGCGAGAACAAATGAATTATAATTATTCATATTCCAACAATCTTATAATTGCTATCTATCAGTTCTGTTACTGAATTACAATTCGGATTTGACATTTTGATTAGTTCGAGAATAAAAGAAGTTTTACTTACAACTCTACATGTGGAATGCGTAGAATTGAAATAAGTTAAAAGAAACATGAAAGAGTCTGAGAATTTGTATAATATATTTTCAAGTTATGAAGTGTTCCATGAAAAACACTTGTGCATATTTTTTTTTATAAAAATCGTAATATATCTAAAATATATAGCACTTTTTTCCCCTTCACTTTAGTATTACATTAAAATGTCGTGTTGCTCGAAAATTTATAAGAAATTCGTACGTCTTTAGATTAAATACACTTACGCTAATGCCTGAAAATTCAAAAGCAAATCAATCTCCCGCTTCACAACACTGTACCAGTCCCAGGTTCGTATGCGTCTTATTTTATAGAAATTTAAAACTTAAGCTAAACTACAATGCTTAAGTAACTAATTTCCTTTAGGATATGGATACAGGGTCCGGGCGATGAAGATGCAATGAATGTCAACGATCAACCCCACGAAATAAAGCAGAACTCGATATATCGGTACATCAAATTGGTTTTACTGACTGTCTGTTGGATTATATTTTGCGTGAGTTTTCTTGCACTAACGCTCTATCAATTTTTAATCTAGAATTGATTCATGACTAATTTTTAAACTGTTCTAACAATATTTGAAGTACTTGAATTAACATGTCTTAGGTCATCCTGATGTTAAAGAGCGAAAAGGAAGAAATAATGCATCAAATTTCCGTGCCATGCAATGAGACTCGACGTATCCTTTTTTTATTGAGTATAATGATTATTCTCTAACAATTTCAATACCTTATCAAGTTTTTACTTAATTGAATTAGATTATATGCTCCCGGAACACCCTACTAGTAATCAGATAGGTATAACAATGGAAGGCGCACTACTTCCATCTGTATATGCTAATTTATCGAATTATCACTTAATAGTATGGTTGCAAGTATTGGTCGATGTTGATCAACGACATAATAATACTCAAATTAATGAAGAGTACATTAAGGTATGAAACTCTTTTTAGCTTAAAAACGATTGTCGTTGATATATGATTATATTGTATAACACTACTACGTAGCTATATTCATTAATAGCGTTAATTAATACATTCTTAATGATGATTGACCAGAAACAAATATCATTTCTAGCAGTGAAACGTTAATAATGAACAAATATTGCAATTGCAGTACCTACTGTGTATTAGTGCTTAGTACCCTTCATACTCGTGTGTATCTGCTATTTGCAGGATTCAGGCGCCATTCGTATGTGCTGTAATGATTTATTTATTTATTGGAAAACGCTATTTAATCTCTTGAGGAACAATGTCTGAGCAATGAGTAAAATTTGGGCAATCATGTATCTGAGAGATATATACTTAAAAATTTATAAATGGCGATACGGGATTAAAATATGATCTTTGTGCAAGGTGTTTATAAAAATGAAATTAATAAACTTTAATTTTTTAATTTTTTTTTTCTGAAAAAGAATTCAGTGTTGTTCGAAAGAAATTCTAACGCACACATTTCTCGGATACGTTAGCATCGGATGGAGAAGCAAAGAAAATTTAATTCAATGTTGATTTTTTTTAAATATGCAATTAACTACATTTTACAGAACGTAAGCGAACCGCTGGTGCTGTCAATAGTGTCTGAACATTTAATAGGCATCGTTCCGGATCAGAGAGTACATAAAAAGTTTAAATTGGAAGGTATTGAAATCAGGTACGTTGGTTGATGTACTTAGTTATTAATCCTTTGCGGCGGTAGGTATTTTGGATGTAGCTACTTTGGTAGCTGAGAGCAGACATACGGTCGCAAAGGGTTAATTTGTTAACGATTAAAATGATCATCTTTACAAGGGCAGTTACTTTTTTTAATATTTGTATTATAATCTTATATTGATGTACTAATTGATATTATATGTATTTTTAGTAATCTTCCCAGAAGTTTTATCAGAATAGCACTAACAACGAATTTGAACTCAAGTTTACCAGTTACAATTGCATATGATTTGTCTCCGATAAATGTTGAAGATGGAATTGTGTATGCAGCCATTGTCCTTTTCGGTCTTTATATTTTAATCGTTTTTGAGGTAATTATGGGTATTTAATTGTTTCTTGCAGCTATTGATATTACAATAGTACTAAATAATAGAATATTTTATGTTGATAATTATATCGTCACAGGTGGTTCATAGAGCAGTTGCAGCTATGTTGGCATCAACAATGTCTATTGCAATACTCGCAGCAATGAATGAGGTAGAATACAAGAATCAATATTATAGTATAATACATAATATCGAATAGTCACATATACAATATATTAAGTAGCGACGTCAGGTGTGGGGTACAAGATTCAAGTTCGATATATTCTTTTCGTGCACATTCCCATACAAAAGTTTTCCATGTATTGATCGATGTATACGAGTCATCGGGTAACGTCAAATGACGTCATACCCGCGAGCTGAGGGTTAAAAGTATCTTTCATGAATATAAATTTCTTTTCTTTGTATCACTGAAATATAACAAAGATGTACAAAAATTCAGCTCCTTAGTTTTTGACGGATGTTTTCATACTTTTGCCTATTCACTTTATATAACGTGACAACTTAGTTCTACTTGTTATTCGAAAACAAATATAGATAATAAGTTACGAATTCAACGTAAATATCGGAAACGTGTTTTGCCATGAAAATTAAGACAGCTTATATATGTGCATTGTACATATTGCTTGAAGCAGGGGCTATTATTTAGACAGTATCGGTATAATGGGGCCGCGACATCAGGTCTAATTTGAGGGGACTTATTTACGTCTCGTTTCGGAAAGTGATGGCCCCTCAAAGTAGGACTGATGTCGCGGCCCGATTAGAGACACTCATTTATTTACAAAAACCAATTGCTTTGTTGTATATTATAATACAAATATTTTACTGTATAAATTTAAAAAAAAAGGATTATTTTTTCAGCGACCGACAATGGGGGAATTAATTTCATGGATCGATGTTGATACTTTGCTTCTATTATTTTCAATGATGATGCTCGTGGCTATCATTGCGGAAACAGGAATATTCGATTATTTAGCAGTTTATGCATACAAGGTATCTAAATAGTTAACTAATTGTCGTAGTGACAACTAATATCATCTTTGCTCTTCTAGATACCAGACTAGATAGAATCTTGTATTATTTTCAGATAACGGGTGGAAAAGTTTGGCCACTTTTTAATACTCTTTGCTTTTTTTCTGCACTAATTTCCTCCTTTTTGGATAATGTCACGACTGTAATGCTGATGACACCGGTCACCATTAGACTTTGTGAAGTTATGGAACTCAATCCTGTGCCTATTCTCACAGCCATGGTTGTTTATTCGAATATTGGAGGTGCACTCACTCCAGTTGGAGACCCGCCAAATGTCATAATTGCATCTAATCGTGATGTCATTGAGTCTGTGAGTATATTTTGCTAATTGGTACTTTAGTCACTTTCTCTATATAAACATTTTTAGCGTTCGCGCAGAGCATACATTTTTATCAAGATTATTATTATTTTTTAATCATGTTGTTCAAAGGTACTTTTTGCTTATATGATCAAGATTATAAAAAAAATGTATACTACTTCGCGAGAGGTCATGATATCAGATATGTTAACCATTATATCCTATGTCGTAGAAGAATTTTAATTGTTCATTGTACGATATGTTCTAACTAAAGGTAATTGACTGATTGGAATGTAATTTTTTTCGACTGATCAAAATTTACGGAAGGTCTATACATATTATTTACATTATCCACATAGTACAATGATAATATGACGTATAGAATGTATATGTATATTATATATTCGAAATACGTCCTCATTTATTCCGGGTATAAATTATGAATATTTGTATGTCCGCTGTGTGCAGTATTTATTTCATATTGAAAATGTATTTAAAAAATCCTACGATATTCTCTAAATCATGCAAAAGATATGTCTAGCAAATGCTCGGCAGTAAATTGTATCTGGTACAAGTAGGTCTCAGGTAACTCATCAAAATTTTGAACAAAGTGTCGGCTTCTTGTCGCAGTTTCATTCGTACCTGAACTATGATTAGCAGTTTAGATAACATTTAGTTAAGAGATAAACAGTTTGTTTAATCTGACTTTTTTACAATTACTTTGTATAAACCCAAATGCACGCATATTCATATTCATGAAATGTAGTCATGACTTGGTGTTAAAATATTTCTATTTGAAAAATATTATTTCAAGAACTGCCGCCAGGCGGCTGGATTATTTTGTAGATGTTTAAAAAATGTACTGTAATTCCCATGTCGTCTTAACACATTTGTACAAAACATTCTTATTCAATAGTATTACTTTAATGGATACGTCCGAATGAATGTTTATGAAACGGCTTGATTATTTTAAGTTCTGTGTCGGTTATATCAGCATCTCCTCAGACTAAATACTCAATGATATTCTTCATATGAATTTTGTAGAAAATTATTTGTTCGAATCGAACGATTAGTTTCAAGGTTAATTGTTTTTTTCAGGGGGTGGATTTTAGCACTTTTATCATGCATATGAGCGTCGGTGTAATAATGGTAATCATTGTGGTTTCCGGCCAATTTCGATTTATATACAGAAACATATCGGTGTTGAGGTTTGACGAACCTCAAGATGTACAGGTATTATCATTATGCATGGGCGTTGTAACGTTTTTGTGCATTTGAAAAATGACTGTATTATTTATAGGAACTGAGGCACGAAATAGCAATTTGGCAAAGAGCAGCAGCAAGTCTTTCTAGTTATAGCAAGGATGAAGGTCTGGTACGAGAAACTTTAAGGAATAAAGTTCAACGCCTGCTCTCGAAATTAAAGAAGAAATTAATGACTGGAAGCGTGCCTTTAGATAATTATAAAGCCAATCTCGAGGAATTGCAAGAAAAGGTATTTTACATAGTTGAAAATTATCCAGATGAATTACTTAGGTATTGAACAGAGAGAATTTTTTAGTAAATATTGCAAATGAAATGCTCGTGGAAATTAGCCACGAACCTAATAACAGTGGGATATATCGGTAAGGTAGGTAATTTTTACTGGCGACGTAGAGATTTTTCCCGACACAGTATAGTAAAAATCATCGAGTGAAATTTATTACTATGTGATGATAAAATCTGTCTAGTTCAGTGTAAAAATTCATATAATTATTGGGAGAAAATAGAAACTACTCTAATGGCATAAAGCAGCCAGACGTCAGTAGACGTAATAGTTTGTGGTGAGATTGCAATTTAAGTCCTGATGACCCGTGCGCGCCCCTATGAACCGGAGTTCTCCGAAGGTGACCGACCGTTTGCCATCGCGACTGGTTAAAATTTATACGAATCCACTAGAAAAATTGTGTGGAATCTAGCGATTTGTCTGTTGCTTTTTAGCACGACCATAAAATACTGTTCTATAGGATAAAAATTGCGACTGGCCATACATATTTTAGTGGTGGGTTAGAACTCTATCCAAACTCAACTGATTATAAATCACAAAATTTTTGATCATATTTTCCAGATTTCCAAACTTTATCACCCAGCAGAGTAAAATGTATTAAGTGCAGTATCTAAAATTGTTCTTTTTCGCAGTAACGATATACCAAATTTTACTTTGTCCCGGCTTTACTTCGCATTACACTGTAACTTTTACTAGAAAATTCTCTCCTATAGGATCTAAGACTCGTTCATTGGTCTATACTTAATTATTTCCATTTCAGTATCCTATCAGAGATAAATGGCTGCTGGCAAAGTCAGGCTTCACCTTGGTTTTTGTGATAATTTTATTTTTCCTGCACAGTGTGCCTAACTTAAATTTATCTCTTGGCTGGACCGCACTCTTAGGAGTTCTTTTATTGTTAGTATTGGCTGATAACGAGGATTTCGATGGTTTAATGGCACGGGTCGAGTGGAGTACTTTGTTATTCTTTGCTGCATTATTTATTCTAATGGAGGTTCGTGTTCTTTATCATTGAGTTATAAGTATTCCGCCTAATAGTACCAAAAATTGTTATGCTATGCATATATTTGGAAATCATAACAGGCTCTTTCACGGTTGGGTCTCATTGATTGGATTGGCAAACAAACGGAAATGGTCATCTTATCTGTTAACGAGGAATCCAGACTAGCCGTCGCCATACTGTTGCTTTTATGGGTTTCTGCATTCGCTAGTTCATTAGTTGATAATATACCAATCACTACTATGATGGTGAGAATTGCAACGAGTCTTGCCAAGAATAGTGAACTTAGGTTACCGTTACAACCATTAGTCTGGGCCTTGACATTTGGTGCTTGTATGGGAGGTAAGACATTTATCGCAATTAGGTTTATATCTTTTCCATATTTATAGTAATTAACTCTTAAGATAGTCTTGATTACAGTTATTCTTTTTCAATGAATTTATGTTGCATTAGGCAATGCTATAAATATATGCATTGTAAGGTATACGACATTTTTTATTTTTTTGCATACAAAATCAATGATATGTATAATACAGAATTACTAGGTTTGGCAGTTCATCATACTTTCGCTTTGAACCACTTTTTATTAAAAAGAAGTTAATATGCACTTTTATTTAAAAGTGTCTTACGAGACATGTGCATCACTGAAAATGTCTATCAAAAAATTTCAAATGAGCTGTTGAACCGATCGACTTTAAATTTACACAAGAAATAAGCTCACGTCTAAATAGTATTCTAACATTTGTAAATGTCAAGCATTTTTAATTTCAATGTTTTTCATGTACAAATTCATTTTTTTTTTTTTTTTAATGAACGCATCAATTTCAACCTCCCGATTCGAGAGGTAGCGTGTAACGTCAAACATGTTTATCCCGATATTTGAGTTATACAGTTTTCTTAGCGATCACGATATACATAAATACGTCGAAAGGAATATCTCGTTATATTTCAAGGTGGTAATACTTTTTAGTGAAAATCAATATTTATTTCGTTGTATGGTTGAGTGCATTTATTACAGGCAATGGCACTTTAATTGGAGCTAGCGCAAATGTAGTATGTGCTGGTGTCGCTGAACAACACGGATATCGTTTTACATTCATGCAATTTTTTAAGTGCGTATATTATATTTCATCCGTCTATGACGAATATAGTTGAAAGGTAAACAGTGTGTGAATCTAAAACGTATTTATTCTTTTCCAGAGTGGGATTCCCCATAATGATCACTAGTACTACGACCGTGATGATATATCTGATGATCGCTCATGTGGCTTTCAACTGGCACACGACTGCTTGATACAAGCAATCTGTTTGAACATATTACATACGAATATATATGTATGGCGTACAAAGATACTTATTTTGTTTTAATCGTATACTGTTCCTTGCAAAGGACAATATTAATGTTTTGTGTATTTTCAATGTATTATTTTCTTTTAATAATCAAACCTATCCCGTTGAAGTATATTTCTATGAATCTTCATACAATTGTGAGTTAATTTGTGTATATAAAATTAAGTAACTGAAATCAGCAGAAGTATCGGCAAAACAAAGTATCTAATTCTTTTAAACACGAATTTTTGTCGCATTCTCAGTTAGTTAATGCGAATTAGAAAATACACAATAGAAGTTTACGAATGAGTAAGAAACATATGACAGGTCAAACTTTGCAGTCAGTGCACGTTTTTGATTTTGAATAATTTCTTATGAATCTTTCATGTGCGAGTATCGGCAAAATTCTTAGAAAACTGTGCGAACTAAGATTATCATATATTTTTTAACTTATGATTTTCCATTTGATGGTTATATAACGCTCTTTCGCATATCTCATTTTCTATGAAAACGAAACACAGTACTATAGCAAAACTATAATAATATGAAGTATAAGTCATGTTTCGAATTCTTAGAAACTGTTTATTTGAAACGATAATAACATTGTTGTGAAAACATTACCTTGTTAATAATTACTCAAAAAAATTAAAAATTCTTTAGGACTTGCGTCAATCGTAAAATGTTTTTCATTTCCTTTTTCAAATAATTCCGTATAATACAGTGGATTTCTCTCGTATCACTCGTACGGAGTAGACATACGAGTCCTTCGATTGTACGTACATCAAGATGCGTAATAATAGTACGCCGATCATTTTAATATCCCAATCACGGTACGCTTAACTTCTACAATCCACATTACGCGCGCATCGTTTTATGACAGAAGAATAAGTATAAATTCCCAGAATAATAAACAAAAATGATTGATTAAAGCTACGTGAAAGGACCGGAACGGCGTTTGTTTCGCGTATAATTACCATAGAGATGAGTGTTCGTGTTAAAGATTCTTTGAAGGCAAAAACTTTACACTATACACTTTAGTGATTGATGCTGACTATTGTTTATCAAGCTCCAATATACGTAAGCAATACGTGCTGAAGTTTTGACCTGTGGGCTCGTCATTTAAATTCTAATTCATTAACGATTCAAGAATCCAGGCTAATGACGTCTTGAGTACATCATCGGCATGAGGGGTTAATTGAGATAGCAAGTGAGTTGAAATAGAGACACCAAGATTATTGACGAATAATCTTGTATTATAATAAATATAATACTTTATATTTAAATTTAATATTACTTGTATTATAGTAAATATGTAAATAAACATAACGAATAATAATTAATTAATAATAAAAAATTTTGAATTATATAATTCAAATATTTATATAAAAAAATATTTTATATAAATATCGCTCATTAAAAAGACACGAGTCAATTTTTGTGATATTTCAGTCGCAATTGACCATAGCGGATTGCGTCGAAGATCTCACTGTCATTTATAGATGACATAGAGAAGAAGTATGACTTCTTGACTTTGACAGCATGTGACACGTTTGCAAGAACTGTTACACACAGTAGTGTATATTTGTTGCCTAGCACTTCTGCGTACTATGTATAAACGACAATAAATTAATAACATGCAACTTTCTGGTTTCTCGAGAAAAGTGCAATACTTAGATTACCGTCAAGGATTCGTTTCCTATTTATCACAGACGGGCAAGTAATAAAGACGTAAAATCCTACGGTATTTATGTGTTTTTATTTGAATTTATGCTCCATCGTAAGAGAATGATGCAACTTGTAGGTTTTATAGATATACTACTTTATTTTTCCTTCTTCCATTTTAATGATAAGGAAAAAAATTAATATTGCACGATCAGAGATTGCGCAATTCAAAATTTTTTTGTCAAATAATTTTAAAATATTTTCACCGTTGATTTTATCCCTTTTTAATATAAATTAATAAGAATATATAGTTAATTTAAGTTGTTTCAATATTTTACCTCATTGGCGCGTGATATTGTGCACGTATTCCTAATTATAATAATAATAGATGACGTTGTTGCAGAGGTTATCATAACAAGGTGATTTTGCACAATTAGATTGATGTCTGTAAATATTGTACTACAGTGATAAATAAGCACGACTATTAATAATCGTGTTTAATTAAACTTATGGAAAACCTAAAATAAAATAATTAAAAATAAAGTTCTTGTATCGTGAATAGAATCTGACAATCATGAGTAACACGCCTGTTTCTTTGTACTTTATTATTACTGCGTTAATGTTATATTAAGCAGTTCAATAGTAAAAGAACTTAATTGGACGGTTTAATTATATTTTTTGAAGGAAATTGAAATTTGATTTGATTCTTTAATGATTACGTTATATTTAATACGTGTAAATAATACTTTATTTCATAGGCAACATTGTTTGGTCTCAAACGAATGACTGATTCAAGATCGGATGTATACTTATTATTTAAATTATCAAAAGAAAATATCGTATAGTACATTACAAGAACTTGACCTCAGATCGTATGGAAATCATTAAACCGATTACTAATCCATGGATTTAACAAATTATTAACACCTTTTTTAATTAAAATTTCTTATAGATGGTCATAGAGATACAGAATATAATGAATGTGTTAAAATTAGAAAATGACTTTGCACGGATCAACATTGTACCTAGTACGTCAATTAGATCTAAGCATTAATGAAATACTGGACGAAGCAAGCGGTCTATGCATATGCACAAATAGTGGACTACAATGATAATAAAAATATTGTTGTATATTTATATTGTTTTAATATTCAAAATAATTAAACTTGCATGATGAAATATCTATAGCGAACATCCAGTTCCTTAAGCATTTTTCTATGAACAAGTTTTCTCACTAATTTTCTAACGCTGGATTCTTAAGTGCAATCATATGAAGAACTTGTTATATGAGAAATGTCTACTTTTTATTACAAATCCATTTTTTATTGTGAGTATTTACCACTTTACATATGCAGGGACATAAAAACTCATACCTTGTACAATTAAACTATCTTGTTAGGTTATCCATATTTAACTTTTTCATGATTAGTATCTTATGTTGAATACGAATAATATGAAATTCCTATAAGGTTAAACAAAATTATTGGAATACTTAGGGAATCACTATTATCATGTTTATATGTTTTAAAACGCTTAAAGTTATCACAAAATACTTTATTATCAAACAATACCGACTAGCCCTGTACTTAGAATTAGACATTTACCAATATAACTATTTCGTTTGCACTTAAAACTTGCTTTTTCTGGAAATTTATAACCAAGGGGTTTATCAGCACGTCTTGAAAAATTGACTTTAGAATACCGCATACAATTCTTTCCTGGAATGACGAATACATACGAAATTCCCGCATGTTCCATGTGGTTTTGGATAAAATTATATTATCTTACTGGAATGTAAAAAAAAAAAGTAAATACAAGGCACACAGAAAACTTTAAATCATATTTTAAGAATTTTAAAAGATCGAACTATATTTTTTTCACAAGATTATTGGTAAGATATAAATATATATTTAGTAGAAAATTATGAAGGTAATGAATTTTATTAAGCAATTTTTATTTTTTGTTGGTCTGGTAAAGCAGCAGGTAGTCTATTTATGTATCTTTATAGTCAAGTTTCACAGCTTCACACATTTCGGTTATTTGTGATATAACTTTTTGCACAACATTTTTTTTTACGAGAACCGTGATTTATAGTTGAATTTCCAAAAATTGTGGATAACAAAATTTATAATTTAACTGCAGTATTCAAGTGTAATGCACGGTACAGAGTATATTAACAGTGATTATGTTTGGCCTTTTTTTCCGAATTTTTTTCTTCCAAAAATACTTGCGCGTGTCGTGTGTAATTATTTTTAGTCACTTTCGAAACATTAGCTAAAATAAGGTTAATCATTGGAATGACCTCATGTGAATTGCAAAATATGTGCTTACTTGTATTCAACTTATTGTAAATTTCATCTTTCATTCGCTTATTCTATAACTGCGTGCAAGAGTTACATCTTACGAGTTAAGATACATAAGTAATTACTAATATGATTTTATTTGTTATACTAACTATATGAAGTCGATTGACGATATGTTTCAAACGTTGGAAGTAATTTTTCTTTAATTGATTTGATTGTTTGAATATTTTCAATGAATTACAACGTCATCATAATTTATTGAGTACAAGAAGCAGTAACTAAAAATCGGTGACACGGAATTTTATCATTCCTTTTCCCTCCACGGATTAACTACATGAGTGCTTTTATAATGAGTTACTACTGATTTATAAAATTAAAATGAAAGCATCAAGCGAATTCCAATGAATTATTTAACTCATGTACTAATATATATATATTTTTTGAAGGATTAAATTAGAAAATTGGTTTATCACAGTGTTGAATAAGAAATTATACCTCTATACTAGCAATATCTAATATAATAAAATTTATTCCAGCCTGGTAGTCGTATATTACTTCACAAAAGAATTATGTTTTTTTTTTTAAATCTAGGACTCAATTTCGTACAATTAGCAATCCATGTACGAATTAAAGAGTTTTATAAATCGTTACCTAATGTGCATTATAACAGTGTACATTCTGTGTCTATTTATACTTGTGGAAATTTTAATCTCCAAACTTCATGCTGTTTATCCAAATGTACAATTAATTAGAACTATAACATCAAGAGAAAAATTGTTAATATTTCACTAGGAATGAAAGTAATGGCAAACCTACGTAGATAACTATGTCAATGTACAATATGCAATAAGCAATAAATAATGACTAATATTTTCGGATTATTAGTAAAGAAAAATGAACGATTGTTTTTCCAATGAGTATCTACGATGTCATAATAAAAACTTACATATAACGTGAAATATTGAAATTGAAAGTGACTGTCATTACAATGAAATATAAAATACAAAATTCGTATTATTCGCGCCTTAATTCAGTATACGAAGCTTCTAGAGGATTGTTCAATGTTAACCGACAAGGGCTCCGATACTGAGAATCCCCTGTCGTTTGACGTCATGGACCGGATTCCACAATACCCACCAATGCTATACGTGTCCGCTAAATCGCAGCATT